TGCTTTTGTTGTATTCAGTGACTTCTGCCTGGATGTTTATGTTTAGATATTACATAAGGATTTAAACTGCCTATGATTTCTTCCATCTACCCTCCCCACCTTCCCCAAATACATTTTGCAATCTCACTGACATCACTTATGTGTGGCAGATCACACTAGGGTGAGTTTCGGGTTAGCTATATGTGGTAAGAAGAATAAATGTAATGAGGGTTGCTGTACCACTAGAATCATATCCAAGCCCTAGTTACTGTTTTCAGGAAAGGAACTGGAGGAGAAATTTATTGTAAGGAAATTAATCCACTTCACTGGTAGCTTTGTTGTGTCATACGGTAGGTAAAGGCCTGATAATGTAATTCTGTGAATACAGCTAGTGAGTCATTTGGGGAAATAGTGACGGTTACTCGGCTAATCACATTTAGCATTTATAGTTGATGCGTTTAGATATTTTATTATGTAACTAATGCTTCCTTCATTACTCCCAAAAGGATATAAAAAGTATTCTACTATCCACATTACCACCATTACATGAGTTCAGCTTAATTTTCGCATTTACCTGTAGTTGTGTGCACCAGATAGTATTCTTCAGTCAACTAGCAGAAAAAATTGTGAGTTTCACCTGTTTGATTTACATTTTTAGTCAGTTTATTAGTGGTAGACCTTTGTTTTTAAAGTAACTTTTCTATCATACCTGGAAATACATTTTTATCAAAAAATTGTTGCATTTCACAGAGCAGATAAGTTAAAGGCACAGCACATGAAGCAGTTGATATCTGGTATAATTAACAAAAATCTGAAAAGTACAATATGCTTCATGTAGGGGCTTCATGTATAATTTATCTATTAGGGGCAAAATCTGTTTTAGATTGAAAGTATTTTAGTTAGATTACATCTTTTTTTCAAAAGCTGTACCAAAATGTGTACAAACTATTTATTTAAAGTAGCTTTGAAATGAAGAACTACCAGTTTAATGGTAAAGGTGACCAGGAGCAAAGTTAACTTGTTTAGATTGTTAAAGAAATTCAAGCAGGTGTGTTGAATACAATGCCTGTTGTCCTCAATAATCCAGTTTGGTTTGATTAATTGTATTGCCATAATCTAGAAACTCATTTTTTCCCATTATGTTGGGGGAAAAATTGGCCGGTTTCCCATTAGGTGTCAACCAGTAAATAACAATGGGAAGGGCTGTGAGGAATGGACTTTATTTTGTGGAGTCCTGTGGCTCAGTGGTTAGAGCACTTGCTTTGCAAGTGAGAGACCTGAGTTCAATTCCAGGCAGAGGGCGAAACCTTGGGCAAGTTTCCTTACTCCACACAGAGCCTAATAATAATCCCTCCAAAACTAAAAACAATAATAAATTGGTCATTTTCAATCTACGACTGTTTGTGGGACATTGCTGTGCGCAATTGGCTGCCGCGTTTGCTCACATATATGCAGTCAATTCACTTTACAGTGTATTCTGTGAAGCGCTTTGGGACGTCCTCCCGACGTGAAAAGCGCTATATCAAATGCAAGGATTATTATTATTATTATTGCAGACTAGCTGTACTGGTTGCAGCTATGCTTGCAACCAAAGGATCCGATATGGAATGTAGATTCACACACAGACAGACATGTATACTCATCTGGGAGGAATCCTTTTGGGAGGACTCGGCGCTTTAAAAATGTAATTTTGTTGTTGCCGCAGCTTAGCTTCGTCTGTGTTCTTTATTTTGTTCCCGCCGCTTGGTTATGTGCGTGCTCTGTGACGTAGGATGCCACAGCGTTATTTTGACTCTGCGGCCACCAAGTGTAACTGTAGCGGAAAACACAAAACTTAAAATAACTCATGAACAATAGAAGATACCCGAAAACAAATATGCGCATGTCACTCCAAGCTGCAAGACTTTTTTGATGAGCTACAAATTATGTATCTCCATCAATCGGATATTGAGATCCTTCTCGAAGCACAGACAGACATTATCGTTTTATTAGTATATATATGTAAAGATATAAAGAAGATAGATGGGTAGAAATTTAAAACATGGTAATGAATTTTAGACATCTCTGTATGAAAAAAATCACAAAGCAATCATGAAACCACCATTTGCATGACATTTTAAAGGTATGAATAATTATAAAGCAATATAATAAATAATAAAGTAAATAATAGTAATAACAAAGCATATTTATGAACAATTTAATTGCAAATCTGTGTATTTTTAAAAATATATCTCAGACCTGGAAATATTAAGAAATAGATTTAAAAACAATTATTCTCCAATTTCAGAGATGTTTTGTTTGATGATTGCAGCGTCTGTTATTTGAACTGTATTTAAAAACATGTTTTTACTTTAGTCATCATAAGTAACACTGTAAATGAAGCTTTATGCAGTTTTTATTGGTATGTAAAAAAAAATGGTAATACAATACAAATTTACATTTATACAGTGCCTTTCATTTCGGGAGGATGTCCCAAGGTGCTTAATAGTAACGTTCAGCACTTGGATAAGGTTGACTTCTGGTTACTAATACTGATATTGCTTATTTTTTTCTGCAATTCAAACTTAAATATCTTATACGAATGAAGTAACAAATGCCATGACTTCCCAACTCATTCCTCCACAAGCTGCCAATTATCCAGAACTCTGCCACTCATGTTCTCTTCCGGACTAAGGCTAGTGACCTGATCCTCCCACCTCACCCGGCTTCACTGGCTCCACATCTCCCAGAGGATCGACATCGAGATCCTTGTCCTCACCTTTAAAGCTCACCACAGTCTTGCTCCATCCTATTAACTAAACCAGTGATTTACGTGGCCCACCTTCACTCTTGTATCAAGTGTTCATTGCTTGCAAAATCTATCCATCGATGAAGTCAAGCAGATTGAGTAACCATTTTACTGGATTCCATTCTGTTCGTAGACATGATCATGACCTCTCTTTGTAATTTACCCCTCCCAATCTCACTCTAAACATGTTTGACCTGCTCCACTGATTCCTGTTCCAAATTTCCTTTGAGTCTTGTTTACCTCTACTTAGAATTTCCCAATCTCCAAATGATCCAATAGCTGCTTTTTTATCTATTTTATTGATTGTTTTGAATTATAACCTGCCTCACATCATTGTTTTCTTCATCTGATCCCACTTTTTCTCCCAAATTTCCAGCCCAATCATAAAGCCATAGAAATCTACCACTCAGTAGGAGGTCATTTAGCCCTTTTTCATGTTGACATTTGCTCCTTTTAAGAAGTTGTCCATCTCATTGCCAATTCCCTGTTCTGTCCACGTGCCCTCTGATATGCATCCTCTGTATGTGTTCGTCAATTTTTTTAAAATACCCCAATCAACTGTTTTAATAGCTATCCCTGGCACATCGTTCCATACCCTCTTCTCATAGTTATATCCTTTCAGATCTGGTATCATCTTTGTGATCTTAACTGCCCTTTCCCAAGGGTGCAGATTCCAGTCACTGCACAAGGAAAAAGAAGATTGTTGCCTAATTTTTTATTTATTTTGGTCACAATTTTTATCTTTCTGATTTTCGGACCAAAACTGGAAACATTAAAATGAATTCAGTGAAATGCACTGAAATCTGCTAAATGCACAAAACTTCCTGTTAAATGTGGCTCAATGCTGCACTAAGGACTTCCATTAACATTGCCCGATTCCGCTACTACCTCACCCCTCTGGCCACTGAAACTCTTGTTCGTGCCTTCATCATCTCCAGGCTCGACTATGCAAATGCCCTGCTTGTCGGCCTTCCCAACTCCTCCCTCCATAGGCTGCAGATAATCCAGAACTCTGCAGCCCGTGTCCTCTCCCGCACCAAATTCTGTGACCCCATCTCCCCCATTCTCACCCGACTCCATTGGCCCCCTATCCTTCAGAGGATCCAGTTCAAAATCTTGGTCCTCATCTACAAAGCCCTCCATGGTCTGTCTCCACCCTATCTCTGTGACATCTTAACCCCCTACCAATCCGCGCACTCCCTCCCCTCAGCCGGCTCTGGCCTGCTCCATGTCCCCTGATCCACCCGCCCCACCATTGGCGGGAGAGCCTTCAGCCACTCTGCCCCCAACCTCTGGAATTCCATCCCCCAATCACTCTGCCTCGCCCCCTCCTTAGCATCCTTCAAGTCCCGCCTCAAAACCCTCCTCTTCGACCATGCCATTGGTCACTTCCCCTCCTCTCTCCCCCCTGACCCCAGCTCGGGTCTGAAATGCTGTACGCTGTCCAACTCCTTGGGACGTCCTCCCGACGTGAAAGGCGCTATAGAAATGTTGTTGTTACAATACAAATTACATTTGTATGGCGCTTTTCACGTCGGGAGGACGTCCCTAGGTAACTTTGAGAAACTTCAATTATTTTTTGAGCTAGGATTTGATTTTGGCAGTTAACAAATTACTACCAGTTTAACAAACTATGAGTCATATTCGCTGCATAAATTTTGTACTCTGATTCTTATATTACAAGAATTTTTTAGTGTCTTGGCTAGTTGCAAAGAATATCCATGAGCTTAAAGAATCACCTTTGATTCTCTGTTATCTACATGAGAAAAGGAGTTTCAAGGTTGTAAATACATTCAAACTGCATTGTAAAATGAGGATGAAGCCTTGACTGTTCGTGAAGGTTACAACAACCTGCATTTATATAGGCCCTTCACACAGGAGTTTTGAAGCACTTGTTACTTTCCAGAAAGAAGTAAAAGCTCGTAATTCCCTAATGATGCCAGTTTAGCTGAAATCCAGTATGTAGTGTTTAGGAATCTTAAAATCTATGATTGACTTAAAATGAAACCTCCTCCTTGTACAAATAGGTACTGAAGAAGCTTGCTGCCAGAAAACTACTGGCATACATTTGAGATAGTTTTTTATGCACGGGTAATTATCTAAGACCAAATTCATAATCTTTGTCCCATTCCATCTCATCGATTCCATGTATTTTTAAGGATCGTGAATTGAAGCAAATCAAATTAATGAATTAATCTAGTTTTCATTAAAGTGTGTCTCTGTTTGTACATAGCTTTGTCGCAGGAAATCATCAGTGAATTGCCCTAAGGTAAATTCCAATGCTTTTCCCTATTGCACTACCTTTGGTATTGAATATTTTAGGCCATACAGTGCATGTACTTTTCAGCTTGCCATTGATGCAGAAGTTGAATATTTACAAGACTTCATCGAATGTTGATGTTAATAATTTGATAATTGATTTTTTTTACTATTTATAAATTTGCAGCTTTTTAATCTAGATCTACTTTTCTAGATTCAGGTTGTTTACAGGATGGATGACAAGCCAAGACAGTTTTTCTTTAAAACTTGGCTATGGTGCTGATAAATAGGATAAAATACCAAATTTACATTTATATAGCGCCTTTCACGTCGGGAGTACCTCTTAAGGTGCTTAACCATATTGGCTTGGGATCTGAATATTATATAATTCAAATACTGACCTCATAAAACAAAAACTTCCCTGTTGAGTACTTGGCAGATTGGCCTTTCACCCTCTCAAAATATAATATTAATGGATTACCTAACCTTGTCCATACCTACTACTGCCCATAATTACAGTGCAGCAACTTTCAAAATAGGCATTCTTTACTAATACAATGATATCCATAACTGGTGTGGAGTGATACATACAAGAAATGTAACTGCTATCTTGAGATCCTTGACATTTCTTTGAAGTCTGACCCAGTTGAAAAAGTGTCATCTAAACAATCAACAACATGATAAGGCGCTGTATCAAATACAAGGTTTAATTAATTAATATGCATTCTAAACAATCTGCTGTATTTTAGAATAATTCACCTTGTTGAAGTCAACACAAACTTTAAGAGGGAGTGAAAATTATAATACAGGATACAAGGAAAGAACAGGGGAATGGGATTAAAGTCAATGCCACCAGTAAAAATTAATGCCTAAAGCACAATCCCAGAACTGTCAGTGTTTTCATGTTACCTGTAATTTATTTCAGACTGAGGACAGATTGGAGCTTCAATGGTAGTCACAAAGAGGATTTCTTTACTAGGTACCAGCAGATTGTTCAGAACATTTACCAAGAAATTGTATTGGTTTAAAAAGCAATGGCCATTGCTTTTCAAACACTACCTTCGTTCTCTTACCCCCTCCCCCTGCGGGTGGCCCCTCTGGAAATTGCAGGTATTTGTTGCATTGGATTCTGCCTTGCAGTCTTTCCACAGCAGAGCAGCTCAAATGAGTATGGAGAATTGAAAAAATACTGTTGAACTTTACCATTATACCTCAGAGTTTTTTTATGTTTTTAAACAAAAGTGCTTCACTCGTCCGATTTCAGTTTCCTACTCTGAGCAAACTGAAATCTGACAAGTGAAGTGCTTCGCTCCAGTTACGTATCTCAACTACTTTGAGAAGATGCTTAGGAAGTTGCCCAGAAGGAGAAGCCAAGCGAGTCATCAATGGATTGGTTTTGTGCATCTTCATGGGGCTTAGGTAGAATGTATGGATCACCTGCCCTCTTGGCTGCAGTTGGTGCTTGAGGTAAAATAGAGAGTTGTTATTACCCCTTCTAAATAAAATCACTTTACTATTTCTTGGAAAATTTGTGTTCTTATTCAGCCTGAATTGACATGCTATTTGATTTTCTAAAAACTCAAATGTTTTTGTAGCAATACTGCATTGAAACCCAAATATACTTAATTGCAAAAATCGCAATTTAGAGATCCGAGTTTGGTAATTCTAGTCATGTTGTCCCTTTCTCATTTGAGGGGGAAGAGAATGTGTTCCTTTACTGAACTGCGCAAGCTTACCTCCTAGCTGAGAAATAAAGCAGTAGCATTGAGAACCTTTGTGGGTTTTCTTATTCTGACTTCCTAAATGCTAAAGAAGAGACTTGAGAGCAACACTGAGAGAAATTATTGCAACAGAAAAAAAAACTTATTATCTAAAAATAAGAAGCATGAACAATTCTTTCAAAATCTTTTCTCCCTCATTTTAGGAAGCTCTGGTTTTCTAGGTGGGAATCCAGTCTACAACAATATTCCTAATGGATTTTTATTTCTTTGTAATTATTGGTTTGATCAGTTTGTAAACTTCTACTTAAAAATGCAGAAAGGAACACAAAAGATTAACATGAAATATAACTAAAATAAATATTGACAGCAACACAAATATTTCCTATTTATAAAGCTTTGCAGTCTTTTAACATTTTAACTGCTGCCAGATAGTTCCCAAAAATGGGTTTAAGAAACGTAAACCTAAATAGATGAGAGATTCATTATTTCAAAGTTATTTCAAAGCCAAACTGCATAAGAAAAATGAACCAGAATCTCTGGCTCAAAACAGAATGTATTCTAACTAGCACTTTTCCTTTCTATAGGGGAAACTGCAAGACACACATGCAAAATTCCACGTCTTATTTCTTTTCTTTGTGGCGGCCATGTTCTTCATCAGTTTACTGTCGCTTTTCAGTTACCACATCTGGCTGGTCAGCAAAAACAGATCGACAATAGGCAAGATAATCTTTCAACTGGATACAAATTTTCTTTAATAGGCATTTGTTTGAGAGAGTTTTGGAGTTTCTTCATTTTTTAATCTCAGTAATAATGCTGTTCCTTATCTATTTTATGAGTTGCAGGCAGACTTGCATACATCTCATAATATATGACTGTTTGTGGGACACTGCTGTGCGCAATTGGCTACCACGTTTCGCCTACAAAATATGCAGTCACTATACATGATATTCTGTGAAGCGCTTTGAGACATCGCAACGACATGATAAAGCACTATATCAAATGCAAGGATTATTATTATTTTGCTTGCTTTAGTTTTAGATACTTTGTTTCACCTGCTACATTAGCAAAACGTGCTTTAAAATAATGAGATAACATACATTTTTTTCAATCTGTGTAACTGGATAGTATACTTCCTATTTCTAGATTATTACTTTAAAGAAAACCTTTTATTAACTGATTTTTTTTGTAACCATTTTCAGAGGCATTCCGTGCAGCAGTGTTTCGAAATGGTCCTGATAAAAATGGATTTAGTCTTGGATTTACCAAAAATTTAAAACAGGTGTTTGGGGATCAAGGCAAGTACTGGCTCCTGCCTATTTTTACAAGGTATGTTTGGGTTCTATGACAGTATAATGTCAGAATATAGTGTTCTTTTGTTTGCTGAGATAATCTCATCCTGATAAGAAAATACTGTTATGTAGTGATACACAACCAAACAGTATTTTCACTAAATGTGACGAAAGTTTGTTGAAATAAATTGTCAAGTTACAGAGCAACAAAAACATTAGACATGCTTTTTTGTGTAAAATGTATGAACAATAAATTTTATGGTAATGAAAGCTATTCATTTTACGTATCTGTACGTCGATCCATTGCATATACCTAGAAACATTTTTCAGAGGTAAATCTTTTTCAGCATTATTTTAAATTCTTTGAGTTTCAACTTGGCTTCAAAGACTCTTGTCTTTGACTCTGAAAGTTTTAGATTGAAGCCCCAACTATTCAAAAGCAGAAAGGAGTTTGGCAGTGTCCTGGCCAACAATTCCTCCGATAAAAGGTCACTCACTTCATGGCTGTTTGTTGGACATGTGCATAAATTGGCTGCCACATTCACCTATAAAATACACAGTCACTACACTTCACAATAAATGTTATGAAGTGCTTTGGAAGTCGTTCCAACATGAAAGGCATTATATCACATGTAAGGATTATTAGGAAATTCCTGGAATCGCAGATTTGCCCATGAGAGTGTATTAAAATTATACTTAAATAAAACTAACCAACTCTCTTGATGGTTCAGTGATTACATTCTCTGCATATTGTGGCATTGAACCACAGAGAAAAGGAAGGTTCCAGGTTCAAACTGGTCTCTGCTGAGTTAGCTGATCTTATCCAATGTGAAGATTATGTCCTACAGTTGGATTCATTGCCCTTAGTCTCAGGGAGGTGAAAACTATGAGGGTTCCCTCTGCTGATCATTGTACAATGAATACATCCTGGTCTGTTTGTGAATTTCAGGCAGGGATAGGATTGGAGTCGACTGTGATGCTTTCCACTGTTTAACAGTCTGTTTAAAGTCACACACAAAGAATAGGGAACCGTCATTCATGAAATCACACCCAGCATGAGAAAGTAGCAGCAGATTGGGAAGAAACACTGTGACATTGAAAGGACAATTTAGAAAATGAAGCTAGCTTGTTACCTAGTGATATTTTCAAATAAGACCTTCTAACAGAATAGGACTTTGCAATTGCTCCAAAAATAAGATTTATTTTTAGTCTAATGTGTACAAATGTGTACAAACTGCTGTGCGCAATTAGCTGCTGCGTTTTGCCCACAAAATATACAGTCAATTCACTTTACACTATAATCTGTGAAGTGCTTTGAGACGTCTCAAAGACTTGATCAAGCACTATATCAAATACAAGTATTATTATTATTATCACAAATGTGGAAACAAACACCAGTGTTGGTAAGTGCTTGTTGTAATCTATTTTCTGTGCTGTCCTGAAGTTTTATTGGAAGAAATTGGATGCAGTTTTATATATGCACCAAACCTATAGCAATTACTAGTCTTAAGATCAACATAGTTAATCAAATCAAACTGGTAAGGTTTGCAGGCATGGAAGCAAGCAAACATAAGACCTATATTTATGAAAAGCAGGTTTATTAACTCAACATTGATAACATGCATAATATAATTTATTCTAAGGAAAACTCAGTAAGAACCACAGCGTTAGAAGAGGAAGATCATAACAAATCATCTGGATTAATTTGCAGATGTTACAGATAAAGTAAACAGCCACAGCCCATATATGATTTATTTAGACTTTTATTAGGCGAACGTTCTACACAAAATATTTCCAATTAAACTAAAATGGTTGAAGGTTAAAGATCCAAATCAGAATTTATGATCAAATTCTAGGCTGATGTTCCGATCCAGTCTAGGAGTGCTGGATTCTCACAGTTTCTATCTTTCGTATCAGATAGTAAACCAAGGTTCTCATCTGTCTGCTCAGGTGGATGTTAAAAATCCAATGATCCTTCTCAGAAAGAGGGAAGGAAATTTTTCCCAATTCTGTAGCCATCACATTTTTAGATTAATTGGGGTCATTCACCTCATGGTTGTCTGTGGGAATGTGATGCAATTAGCTACTGGGGTGGGGAGAGGGGTGAGTTTTGAGAAATTATTATTTTTAATTGACATAGATGTCCTGGATTTTGAAAGCTGGTCAAATTTACTAAAAACCCCAAATCAGGGAAAATAATAGATACCGAGAATATGGAAAAGTATGCAAAATATTTTTTGCAAATTGCTTCAATGTCTCAGGGTATTTGAATACATTAACTTCATAATAATCCCCCCACTGTATTATCTGACTATTTCCCGCAATGTATTATAATCTGCCTTTTTTTATCTATCATTGTACAGCCTAGGGGATGGGTGTACATTTCCAACTCGTCTGGTCAATCCAGATCCAGAGCAGCCCAACACGGTCAACCACAGTGACTCTTCCAAAAAGTATGGTTACAATTTCATTTGTTTTAAACAGTCTGCCAACTTAATGCTCTCTTTGGTTAAATGCATACTGAGGTCCCATTTAACTGTTGCGTTTAACTGTGGACTTTAAATATCCCGTGACAATCAAAAAGATTGGGGATTTTCTTCTGATAAAATTGGTCATTCACTTCATGGCTATTTGTAGGGTCTTGCTACATTACTGTACAAGAACTGCTGTAAAACAATTTCAGAAATTTTGAAATATAAGATGTAGCACAAATGCAAATTCTTTCTTTTGATACTAGATTTTTTTTCTTTGAATCAGATAATTGTGGGTCATTCTACTACTCAATACATCCTAGTTAATAACACCTTTATGAATACTTGTTTCAATTCCCTTCCCCCCTCACCACATGCAGGTGGATTTAATTATATAGTTAAATACTACGTGCATCTCAGTCATGTATTATTTCAAAATATGGACATTGAACAATTCATTCTTCTTTAGTTGCAGTATTCCTAAAATGTGTGCGAGTGTGAGAAAGGAAAACGTTAGGAATTTTGTTTTGTTTTTGCAACAAGAGCTGAATCTTTTACAAACTGATCAAATCAAAGTCTTTGGCTGTAAAGGTCTAATATAAAATGTGTTTGAGTATGTTAACCCATTTCAAAGTTGCCATGAGGCAACACAAGCAATAACTGGAAGTCTCATTCAATAACAATGCTGTTATGGTAAATGCAAAAATCAAACTAGTTCAGTCAATGCTCTCTTTGAGAATGCAGTAAAGCATAACATTAGAGGAGCTTTATTCTGTACTTGAAAGCGCTTCATGTTCATACTTTATGCTTGTACTGACCTTGACCAGCTCATTAATTTTCCCCTGCCATTGCCTTTTAAGCCTCAAATTTCAAGAGACATTTTTATATTAAGTAATTTCTCTTAAACACGTATAATAATCATAAAATACAACAACAAGATTACATTTGTATAGCGTCTTTCATGTGGGCGGATGTCCTAAGGCGCTGGACAGTGTACAGCATTTCAAAATAGGTGCCAAAGCAATTGTTGCATTGAAGTATTTTAATTCTAATAGTTTACATTCTATCACAAGGAAAAGTCATTACAGATGGTGTTTGTGGTCCCAATTTTGCTTGGAAGATGCCAGATATTTTGAATGCAGTAGTGAAGAACACAGACTGGTCACAGCAATTAAAACCATAATAGTATTAGGAATGATTTAGGTTATTATTACAGGTACACAACAATAATTGTAACTGTAAAGGTGATTTTTTTTAACACAAACATGATCCAAGTAACTGAGCAAATCCATTATTTCAAACAAGAAACAAAAAAATATTTTTGTTGCTCTAATCACATCAGCCTAGCTCACGTTATTATTGGAGCACTTTTGCCCCTGAGTCAGAAGATTCTGGGTTCAAGCCCCATGTCGGGATATGGAACTCGTATCATCTAAGCTGACCTTCAGTACAGTGCTGGGTTGTGCTGCATTATGGATCAGATGTTAAACTGAAACCCCGTCTGCCTATTCAGGTGGACATTAAAGATCCCATGTCACTATTCGAAAAGAGAAGGGAGTTTCTCCTGCTGCCCTGACCAGCAATTTCCCAAATAAAATTGGTCACTAACTTCATGGCCGTCTGTGGGACATTGCTCTGCCTGTTCACCCACAAAACACATGGTAATGCACTTTACATTAACTGTGTGTTTTGTGGGTACAGTTTGGGATGTCCTCCTGGTGTGAAAGGCACTAGATCAAATGTAAGGATGATTATTATTATAATTGAACAGGATTTGCACATAAATTGATTTGATACAGTCATAAATGTCCATTCTGGACCATTGCCTTCATGATGAATACTGTCTGAGGCTGAAGTGGAAACATGAAACAGAATGTTAAACTTGAGTTCCCCTCTCTTCTGCAGACCTAGATTAAAATCTAGATCTCTTTACTAATTTTTGCTGTAAATCACGGATAAGGTTCTTGTGCATTTTGTCTTACTCCACAGTGCTTAATAATAATAATCCTTGCATTTGATATAGCGCTTTTCACGTCGGGAGGACGTCCCAAAGCGCTTCACAAAATATACTGTAAAGTGAATTGACTGTATATTTGTGGGCGAACGCGGCAGCCAATTGCGCACAGCAATGTCCCACAAACAGTCGTAGATTGAAAATGACCAATTTATTATTGTTTTTTTTTTGGAGGGATTATTGTTAGGAGTGTGGAGTAAGGAAACGTGCCCAAGGTTTCGCCCTCTGCCGGGAATTGAACCAGGTCTCTCGCTTGCAAAGCGAGTGCTCTAACCACTGAGCTACAGGACTCCACAACACTTGGAAGGGGACTATGACCGTCAGTCTGAATGGAAATGTGACGAATGCTCGTCTCTAATACTTGTTAAAACTCTGTCAGTGTGTCTTGCATTCCTATGGATCTGTATCATGGTCCAACTTAGGATGTTTTGGTGCCATTACATAATGCAAAAGTAGAGGAATATCTGGTTTTGGTGCCATCACACATTGCAAAGGGGAGGAATTTTGATTTCTTGGAGCACTGTCAACACTCATCCGAATAAACTTTAATTTGGAATAAAAATGATTTCAAGAGCCCAGGAAACTGCAGGATTGCCCATCATCTCTTAATATGTTATTAACAAACATTCATACACCCATTCATAAATATCCAGGCTCGACTACGTAAACTCCCTGCTTGTCAGCTTCCCCGACTCCTTCCTCCATAGGTTGCAGATCATCCAGAACCCTGCAGCCTGTGTCCTCTCCCGCACCAATCTCCAGAACCCTATCACCCCCATCCTCACCCGACTACACTGGCTTCCCATCACACACAGGATACAGTTCAAGATCCTGGTCCTCGCCTTCAAAGCCTTCGATGGCCTTATTCCCCCCTACCTCTGTGACCTTCTAACCCCCTACCAACATGCCCGCTCCCTCCGCTGAGCAGGCTCCGGCCTGCTTCACGTCCCCAGCCTCACCCGCCCCACCATTGACTGTCGGGGCTTCAGCCACACTGCCCCCACTCTCTGGAACTCCATCCCACAGTCCACCTCGCCGCTTCCTCCTTTTCGACCGTGCCTTTGGTCATCCTCCTTCCCCACCCGCCCTCCACTCTCCACCCTCCCCAATCCCGACCCCCAGCTCGGGTCCGAAATATTGATTGTCCAGTGCCTTGGGACATCCTCCCGACGTGAAAGGCACTAATACACATTTGTTGTTATTATTTGGTACTTTACATATATATGGAGCCAGTGGAAATTTGAGAAAGAAAATCCTAGCTTGCAGTGCTCTATAGTGGATATTGTTGAGACTTGCGCTTCCCCTTCTGCCACCAGTGTAATTTTTTGTATATACCAAACAATCTTTATAGCTTCTGAACAATTTTAATTTTAGTATGCATTTAATAATAATAATAATAATAATCCTTGCATTTGTGCTCAATTGTGCAATTTCTATACCTATCAGGAAGTAGCTTGACCACTCATTTCTCGAACAGTTGGCAGAGAGGAACCTTTTATCCTATTGGTCTGAGTTAGTCAAACCCAGCTCGTTGAGGAGAAAGATCAATCAGTCCAGCACTCAGTATTCATACATATCCAACATGTTCAAATTAAATTTAAGTGCACATTTTTTTAATGCATTTGATGATGCATCGTGAGGCTTTGTTTCACTATTATTCCGTGCCTTGTCCTGCCTATAGTAGCTAATCATTCACTGGGGACTTGGTGAGTTATTAATGCTACGGAACTTGAGCTTTAAAACTGGCAACCTGACGTCTCTATTCTTCAATGCCCAATCCTCCATGCGATTGTATTTATATTAATGGTACTTTCACTTTGTCATAGTACTGTAGATGGACAGTCACTTCCTACACGACCATTGAGTGAGTCTCAAAACCGACTGTTGGAAGTGGATCAGCATTGGGTAGATGACGAATCAGATGCTGAAAGTTCCAAAAGTGGTAATGTTTGAGGTTTTCCCTTTCCAAGTCTTGTGCGTTGCCTTTTTTTTACACATTTAGCTAGGATTCATCATGTGTAATGGTGTTGCATTCTAGTACTTGGTCTAGAACAATTTTTTTTAAAAAATGAATAAAATCAGATATGGATATTTGGACACTTATCACAATTCTTAACCTCCTAAACCCTTAGGATATTACGAGTAGGTTTTGTAGTAAGAATGGTCCGAGAAGACAATTTTATCACATCAAGCCCCTTTTTCTAGATTGTACAACGTAATCGGACATAGACTTTATTTCATTTCTGAGGGAAAGTTCTGCCAAGATTCTCCACTTCTCTCCCCTTCTGTCTTCTCCTCCCTCCATTCTCCTTGAGCAATTCAAACAAACTCTCCTCCCAGAACACCTATTTATTTCATAAATCAAGAAATATTCAATCAAGAAAAACCTGTAAACACACTAACGATTGAACACAGACTTACCTAGAAGCATCTTCCGAACATTCGCACCAGTCTAGGTAAGTCTGTGTTCAATCGGTGGAGGGTCAAGGGTTGTCCACCACTGCTGTAAAGGCAGCATTTCCATAGCCTCGTCAGTACAGGAAAATTGTTTTATGGAGTATTTGATATTCTTAAATGAAATTTATCCTGAAAGCCTCAACCCCACTTCTCACCCAGTATTTCTTGAGTTCTTTTTTGAAGGAACTAATGAACAAGTTAATTCCTTCTTTTGAGAGCCTTTTTGACTTTTCTGCACTGTTTTGAAAATGTAGCATAAATCTTCTTCTAATCTCTTAGTTTGTCAATTTTACTTTGTATTCTAGTTCTACACTCATATTCAAAATTAAATGGCTTCTTTACAGACGTCCTCCCGATGTGAAAGGTGCTATACAAATATAATTATCCGTGACTCCATATTTTAAAGATCTGGATCTTGATCCCTCTTAATCTGAATAGTTTGTAAATCAGTACTATAAATCACGTAATCAACCTTGCCACACTTCTCTGAAAGTATTTTAATGCATGCTAATCATCTTTAATTAGGGTGCTCAATCCATACCAAATATAGACTAACACTTACAGCCTCTACATCTTATTTTTTGATGTACTGCATTTTATATTGAAAGTTTCCAAATGATGTACTTAGGATATTAATTTTCATTTCTTTTTTTCCAATCCAACATTTGCAGTTTCAAAACAAAATGTTACAGTTTCAATCGACACTGAAACCTATCAATCTACAGATCGCTCAACATAATGCTGTTTTTAAAGGTAACGTGATAAATATGTTGTGTTGGTATAATTGCATTGTTGCATAGCTTAGTTCGATTGTATTATATATATTTTTTAAAAACTACATTATAAATATTCTTTCCAGGTATTTAACATTGGAATTGGATGCTGCTCCCATCTTTCAAAGAAAAAGCTCTTACATTGAAATCAGAAAGCAATGAATGAAAAATGAAGCCTTAAACTAATAATTTTATACATAGGGCAATGAACATTCTATAGGTGACGTGGATGCCATCTGTAGGTTACAGTCATCAGTCTTCTACGTGTATATCAACTGATTGTACAACTGTTAATATATTCTGTACACTGAACGTTAAGCCTCATAGTAAGCAGTCTAGAAATCTGGTTTGAAATTTACAATATTATGGTTGTATTTTTGGTTCTGATTGTTTGATTTGATAATTAAGTGTGAGTAGCCAGTCAGGTTGTAGCCAGACTGGATTTTAACATTTGCTTACAGTTGGGTTATGGTGCTGCAGGATATAAAAGGCACTGAAGGGAACTATTATGCTATTAAAGTGTTTAAATAGGCAATATATTATCAGATATATGGGATGCAAGGGACTAAACTGCATAATAATTGTAGGCAGCTTATATACAGCATCTAAAGATTTATTATTGAAGGTAACATATTGGCTTTAATAACTGCAAATTAACATGAAATCACCCTTTGATCAGATCTATACCAAGCAAAAAAAAATAATCATATGAAGACAAAATATATTCTTCTCTGATAATTTATGCAAAAAATATTGACCTACTTTCTGCACTAATGTTTCACAGATGTCCCTGTATGTATGTTCTGTTTAATAACCAGAACTGCTGGGCACCAAAGAGCAGTTACTGTTTACGAAGCAGATTGTTTATTTATTATTAGCTCAATTGAACAACAGTTTACAAATGCTATCAGGTTTCAATTTTTTTTCATTTTTAAAAGAAAATGGTTAGGATTGCTAGTTCTGTAATATTTTTTAAATCACAAAACTTTATTTGATGTAATATTGAAAGTCATTTACATTGTAAATGGTCTGTGGTAATCGTGCATCAGTGGAGAAATTAATTGGAATGGATTTGGGGAAGGGGGTAAATGTGCATTTAGATTAATTTTATATGTACCAACCCCAAGTTTTCATGTTGATTTAGCCACTGATAGTGGGATATATAAATACTATGTAACTTTTTTTTAAATTGCAAAAGTTGCAAGTGAAGTGTAGCCAAAATGTATCCATTCCAATTGATCATAATAAGTAAGGAGGAAAGTGAGACTGATTCAGAACAAAAATGTGAAGCTCTGAAGTGTTTTCCTTACTGCTTCAGGCATCACCGCTTTTTACAGTTGCCTGATGTGCCATTTGAGCATCGAAAATCATCTCTGGGATTTGATTGAGGAGGGTGGGGGGATAAGTGTTGAATCCATGGAGAGACATCTGATAAAGCCAGGCTTGCCCACAATATTCCCAGGGCAAACATGAAGGTTTGGGCCTTCAGGACAAAGCACTAACAGGTAGGGTATTCCCAGCTTGACAAGTACTGTGTAGTGCAAGATTACCAATGAATTCCAATTAAAACTGAACTAGAATGGAAAAATTCAATTCAAATCTGATTGTGCAGTTTATCTATTGTGTACATGCTATTATTATATGTGATCTGATTTCAGTATGAGAAAGTGTATTTTGCAGCTGGAGTTCAGCTGTTCTCACTATTTCAGTGTTGGATTCCACATGAAACATATTTCATTGGACCTCATCCATCCATCAGACAAACGTTTTGTTAAAACAAAAGGGCATCAAATATTTCCATAGCAAAATCTGATTGCAGTAATGCCTACCATTGTATTTGATATTGACCAGATAAATTGTATGCAATCATGAAATTTGTGGAAGTGTTGAAACTGGCAATTAAATTTACCCCTTAGAAATAAGCCAAGCAACATTAAACTTCTGAGACTATCCATGAGTGTTACATTGATATTGTTTACAACCAGATTACTACGGTATAAAGTAGCGTTTGTGTAAATGTAGCTTAAAGTTGTAAATTGACCCCCCAAAAAAGGTATATACTGTACTCTTTTTCCATCAATGTGTTGCAGCTTTTCTACCTTTTGTGCATTCAAACAAGTAAATCTTGTTGGTAAAATTTGTCCTGAGGACAACCTTGTTTCAGTATCATTTTCTTTCTATTAACAATCAAAGCCAATGAGGCCAAATTTAGTACTAATAAAGAAGATCGCAGAGGAATGGTATTTTACTTAGCATGTTAAGCTATCGTTTAAAATTTACTTTTTACTTTTCCTCGAAAGGATAGCTAAGCTAAATGTTTCATAATGAGAACATGCATGTCTTGCACTTTTTTTCTTTTCTGTACTTAGCACTTCAATTTATGTTGAATAGTTTTTTATTTCTTACTGTATTCAACGAATTTTGTCTATAATGCAAGAAATGACTAAAATAAAAGCAAAAATGATTTTAACATTTTCACATTCTCTTGTGATTCTCAGTGATGCTAAAATCTATCTTAAAGCTATCTTTTTTGTGTTGGTGTACATGGATTATTTTGATGATCCCCTATCCTTGGATGAGAAGTATATGCTCAATATATTTATTTGTTTATATTTACTTACGACTGCACACTCAACCTCACTGAGCCAGTCAGGAACCTGGGTGTCTTGTTTGACCCAGAACTGTCCTTTCTCTCCACATCTGCGCCATGACCGGCACTGCCTACCACCACCTCCACAAAATTGCCAGGCTCCGCCACTGCCTCACCCCTCAGGCTGCCGAAACCCTCACCCACGTATTCATCACATCAAAGCTCGATTATGGAAACTCCCTCCTTATCGGCCTTCCCAACTCTTCCCTTCGCAAGCTGCAGATCATCCAAAACTCTGCAGCTCATGTACTCTTGCGCACCAGGCTCCGTGACCCCATCACTCCCACCCTCGCCCGACCCCACTGGCTCCCCATCCCTCAGAGGATTGAATTCAAGATCCTCCTCACTTTCAAGGCCATCCATGGCCTTGCCCCCTCCTACCTCTCTGACCTGCTGACTCCCTACCATCCTGCCCGCTTCCTCCGTTCAGCAGGCTCCGGTCTGCTCCATGTCTCCCGCCCAACCCGCCCTACCATCGGTGGCCGGGCTTTCAGCCTCTCTGCCCCCACACTCTGGAACTCCATTCTACAGTCCCTTCGCCTCGCTTCCTCCCTTGCCTCCTTCAAGGCCGGTCTCAAAACCCTCCTCTTCAATCGTGCCTTTGGTTGCCCTCCCACCTCTCTGCCTTCCCTCACCCCTACCCAACCCCTCCCCCATGCTCAGGTCCTGACCCCTGACTGTCCAGCGCCTTGGGACGTCCTTCCGACATGAAAGGCGCTCTACAAATGTAATTTTGTTGTTATAGTTTCTACTCTCAATAATGGTCCAGTGACCTGCTGTAACTGTGAATTTATAGTCAGTAGGTAACAACAGGATTGAGCTCACTCTGATTTCAATAACCTGACAACACTTGCAGGTCCTGACTGCCTCCCTCCACTTAAACCAAGTTACCCGCATTTGTCCCTATCTTCACTTCTCCCCAGTTCCACTTTTAACAAAGTCCAAATGATTCAAAACTCTGCCATCTGTGTCCCCACCCATGCCAAGCTCCGCATCTGCATCACCCCAGTTCTTGCCAGGCTCCACTGGATTCCCTTTTGCAGAACAGATTGATTTCAAGATCCTCATTCTCACTTTCAAATCACTACATGTACCTCTCCGATCTATTCACACCCCACTTCATTACCCGGTGGTTCAGGTCTTCTTCTCCCCTCTGCTCCACCATTGGCTTTCAGCCACTATACCCCAAATCTCTGGAACTTCATGCGTCAATCCCTCCATCTTGCCCTTCATTTTGCCCGTCTTCAAATCATACCTGAAGAATTTCCTCTTCAACTGTGCATTTGGTCACCTCCCCATTTTCCAGCTCGGCATCAAAATGTTAAATGCTCTGAGACATGACCTGCATGAAGGCGCTATACAAATGCAAGTTGTTGATGCCTAGTGAAGAATAGTGTACTGGAAAAGATAATGGAAGGCATTGATGGAATTGTATCCTTTCATGAGTTGCCAGGAAAGGGGGCAGGGACTCAATTCTTCATTCCCAGTATTCTGCCTACGTATAACCCGCCCACACACTCACTGCTGTTTGCAGGACTTGACAAGTTCAAATCCAATGAAAATAAAATCCCCTTACGTCCACTTTTTTCAAAATTTCATCACACTTAAAATATGTGATTGTGTAAGCATCAAACTAACCTTCAAAGTAAAAGCAGTCTCGCCCTGCTGGGTTCAAACAATGTGCACAGTGTTTCTATACCTAGTGCTTGCTGCCACAATAGCTGCCTTTTGTCATAACATTCATGGACTTACGCCAAATTTGTTTTGTGATCTTCAGATTCAACCAAAGTAGATGTGGAAACCAATTTTTTGGAGTCTGTCCTTCAACATAGAAAGTTGCTCAGTGATTGAGCACCAGCCGCTAATTGAAAATTCTGATTTTGAATCCTGATAGGGTCCACTCAGCACCTCAGCACTTTGATGGTAATAAAATAAGTACCATGATTTTTTTTAAGTATATACAGTCATGTACTATGTTTGTCAAAAACACGTATTTGAAAAAAAAGGCATTAAAATTGAAAGCCTCCTAACGTGCTGCTCAATTTGAAATTCAACAATTTCAAGGTACTTGTTACCAACAAGTATGCTCGTCCTATAGAGTTTGGGTTGTTTATACTTGACGTCAAGCCTTACTCAAAGAACTAGTATGCATTGGCAATAACTGATGCTGGCTTTTGAATGAGACGTTAAATCGAAATACCTTCTACCTGTTCAGGTGAATGTTAAAGATCCCTTGGCACTATTCGAAAAGAGAAAGGAGCTTCTCGCAATACCTTGGCTGACAAGCCTCCAAATAAAATTGGTCATTCACTTCATGGCAGTTTGTTGGATATTTCTGCAACAACAAGACGATTACATCTGTATAGCGCTTTTCATGTCGGGAGGACGTCCCAAGGCGCTGGACGGCGTACAGCATTTCGGACCCAAGCTGGGGTCACGGACGGGGTGGAGAAGGGAGGTGCCAGACTACGGCACTACCTCACCCCTCACGCCGCTGAAACTCTGGTCCACGCCTTTATCACCTCAAGGCTGGACTATGGGAACTCTCTCCTCGCCGGCCTTCCCGCCACCTCCCTCCACACTGGTCATTCAGAACTCTGCAGCTCGTGTACTGTCCCGCACCAGACTTCGGGACCACATCACTCCCACCCTCGCTCGCCTCCACTGGCTCCCCATCCCCCAGAGGATCGAATTCAAGATCCTCATCCTCACCTACAAGGCCATTCACGGCCTTGCTCCCTCCTACCTCTCCAACCTACTATCCCCCTACTTACCTGCCCGTACCCTCCGTTCCTCTGGCTCCGGTCTGCTCCACGTCCCCCGCCCCAACCGCCCTACCATTGGTGGTCGGGCCTTCAGCCTCTCAGCCCCGAGACGCTGGAACTCTATCCCCCAGTGCCTTCGCCACCTCCTCCCTTTCCTCCTTCAAGGCCGGTCTCAAGACCTTTCTCTTTGACCGTGCCTTCAGCTCCCCTCTCGACTCTCTACCCCCTCCTCACTCTCTCCCCTCACCCTGACCATTTCCCCCAATGCTCGGGTCCTGACCCAACTATCCAGCGCCTTAGGACGTCCTCCCGACGTGAAAGGCGCTCAATAAATGCGTTGTTGTTGTTGTTGCTGTTATTAGACTCTTATTAAAATCCGCAACGACAGACGGGGACAATGAAAAACACGCCCCATTGGGCGTGAAGCCGCCCCAACCGGACACGTGACACAACAAGTACGCATGCGCAGTTTTAAAAAAAAAACAACACAAGGCGCGGAGCCGTTGGTCGTTGAAGCGGCTCTCGAGCAGAGCGGCGCCATATTCAAACACCGCCTCGAGCAGCGCCGCCCGTCAGACCAGTCAGAGGCCCACTCCGCCAAACCCGCCTGAACTCTTTACAGCCCGGAGGTGAGTGGAGCCGGTTACCCGCTCGGCCCCCAAAGCAGCGTTGTGTTTAGCCCGGGCTGTGCCGAGGGCCGGGCCGTGCCGGGGGGAGCCGGGCTGTGCCGGGGGCCGGGCCGTGCCGGGGGCTGTGCCGGGGGCCGGGCTGTGCCGGGGGCCGGGCCGTGCCGGGGGCCGGGCCGGGCTGTGCCGGGGGCCGGGCTGTGCCGGGGGGGGCCGGGCTGTGCCGGGGGGGGCCGGGCTGTGCCGGGGGCCGGGCTGTGCCGGGGAGGGCCGGGCTGTGCCGGGGGGGGCCGGGCTATGCCGGGGGGGGCCGGGCTGTGCCGGGGGGGGACCGGGCTGTGCCGGGGGCTGTGCCGGGTGCCGGGGGCTTAAAATAAAAAAAATAATCCTTGCATTTGATATAGCGCTTTTCACGTCGGGAGGACGTCCCAAAGCGCTTCACAGAACACACTGTAAAGTGAATTGACTGTATATTTGTGGGCGAACGCGGCAGCCAATTGCGCACAACAATGTCCCACAAACAGTCGTAGATTGAAAATGACCAATTTATTATTGTTTCTGGTTTTGGAGGGATTATTATTAGGCTCTGTGTGGAGTAAGGAAACTTGCCCAAGGTTTCGCCCTCTGCCTGGAATTGAACTCAGGTCTCTCACTTGCAAAGCGAGTGCTCTAACCACTGAGCTCCAGGATTCTTGTTGACTGACGCCGGAGCGGAGGCTCTGCCTGTGATTGACATCTCTCTGCGTCACTGCCAATTAATCGCTTGATTATAAATCGTCCAATAAACACATTTATGTTCCAGAGTATTGCGGGGCTGCGGGGGGTGTGGGTGTTGGGGGGGAATGGCCTCTGGTCGTCTTTATGGCCCGACAAATTAATAATGTTAACGCGTGCAGAGCGAGAGGGGGAGAGCGGGATTAGGTTTCAGGGCTCTGGTGGAGGGTTCAGTCCAGTTGCGTCGTCAGAATATTTCTGTTTTAGGTTTAAAGCTACGTTGTACACGGCATCCTCCAACATGAGGTCCATCCCCCTACAGCAGATCCCGTGAAGCGCTTTGAGACGTCTCGACGAGCCGATGAGGCGCTACATCAAATGTGTTCTTGTTGTTGTTACAGCAAATGCAAGGATTATTATTGCGAAGTGAAGCGCGAAAAAAAAACCACCCCCAGACTCCTTGGCCGCCGGCCGGATCACTGTTGACGTCCCGTCCTACAGTGCAATCCCTGCGCTACGTCAAATGCGAGGGGGCTTTTTTATTTAGCATTGGTTATGTTTTAGGAGTCCTGTAGCTCAGTGGTTAGGGCACTCGCCTCTCAAGCGAGAGACCTGGGTTTGATTCCCGGCAGGGCAAGTTTCCTTACTCCACACACCTCTGTTTACCGAGCAGTAAGTCGGAACCCAGTTGTTAGTCGATCGGCAAATCGCTTTTCCGGAGGTAATAATTCCTTCAAAAAAATAATAATAATGAAAATGGTCATTTCCATCCACGACTGTTTGTGGGACTTGGCTGTGCTGCGTTTCACTCACAAAATATACAGTCAATTCACTTTACAATATATTCTGTGAAGCGCTTTGAGACATCTTGAAGATGTGCTAAGGTGCTATATCAAATACAAGGATTATTATTATTATCTCTCCAACCTGCTTGTTCCCCACGCCACCACTTGACGTCGCTGCTCGGCCGGCCTCCTGCATGTCCTTCGTCCCTTCTGTTCCACCATCCACAGCAGTGCTTTCAGCCACTACACTCTGGAACTCTCTCCCTCCTCCTTAACCCCTCCTCCATGTTGAGATTATGCCTTAACACCTTCCTCTTAATCCATGCCTATAGTCACCTCCCCATGGAGGCATGGATTAGCATTGGGCTCCACCACTGTTAGGCGCTCCGAGACTTTACCCTGTGTGAAGTGCGCTATTTGAATGCAAGTTATTACTTTCTGGCGGATTGTTGGGCAGGACACCAGGAGGAACTTTCTTCTCCTTTCCATGTGCCATGGAAAGTGCCGTAGGATCTTTCACGTCTATCTGAATAGGCAAATGGAACATCCGTTTAGCATTTCATCTGAAAGACTGCACCTCCTGCATTTCACTAGAATGTCAGTCTACACCATCAGAGCTGACATGGGGCTTGAACCCACAAAGCACTGAACCTAATCAATGTCCTTAAAGTAGACATATTGTACAGTTTTAATATCATGGGATACTGAAGGCACATTTAGTTTCGTATGTAATATTCACTCTGTTTCTAATTAATTTTGTGTTGTACACAGTTCAAGTGGTTTATATTACACGAATGGCTTTTATATAAATGCAAATTGTGGCTGAATTCAAATAGCAATATGAAAGGGATGGTAAATGGTTGTTTAGTTGTAATGCTGGATGGCAAATGATAGACAGTGGAACAAATTCTATGGTTGTAGACATTCAAAGGTTTAAACCTGCAGAACTCAAGAATACTTTTCTGTTTCTAAAATGTGGTATTTATTTGTTTTTCCTGTTAGTTCATTCTCGAGTGAAATGGATGTAACCGGTAATTTCTTCACCAAGTTGAGAAACCTTGCAGTAACCTTGGAGAAAGAAAGCAAGCATCTTGAACAAGCTTTGAACAATGAGTCTGGTAAGCAGTGATGATGACTGCTACAGTGATGTAGTATTATTAATTAAAGGGAACGTATATTTTACTGAATTGACCTACAGTTATAATAATCATAAAGGGAGATAGCTGTATCATTACTAGTGTTTTTCAGTTCTATGGTGGTGTTTTATTTGGGGGGGTGAAGAAATAAAGCAGATTTATATTTTTTTCACTTTTTTAAAATAATTTTCTGAAATTATAAGGTAAAAATACTCTACAGCAAACACTAGTAACTTATTCAATTTTGCAATTGCATTTTATTTCTGTCGTAGTTACAGATCATGAAGAAGCTCCAATGAGGATCCTGTATGAGATGCATTCAGAAGTCAGAAATATTAAGGTAGAGATCTAATTGCCTATTTGTTGATCATCCTCAATTGACTTTGTTGCTGTATTGTAAGCAGTTATAATGTGTTCAAAGAAAGTTGTTTTGTTCCATGTCACGTCCAATTAGAACTGGATATAAAACCGATGTTGATCAGCAGGTGAAAACTGGAAATAAATTGTTCTTCCATTGTGAGCTTCCTGCAGACTGCCAATTATTCTAATAGTGTAATAGTGGAGTCCTGTAGCTCAATAGTTAGGGCACTTGCTTTGCAATTCCCGGCAGGGCGAAATGTTAGGCAAGTTACCTTACTCCACATGCCTCTGTTTACCTAGCAGTAAGTAGGAACCCGATTGTTTGTTGATTGGTGGATCGCTTTTAAGGGGGTAATAATTCCTGCAAAAGTAAATCAATAAATTGGTCACTTCAATCCATGACTGTTTGTGGGACACTGCTGTGCTCAATTGGCTGCTGCATTTCGCCCACAAAATATACAGTCTATTCACTTTACAGTATATTCTGTGAAGCACTTTGAGACGTCTCGAAGACGTGATAAGGCGCTATATCAAATGCAAGTTTATTATTAGCGGTCAGGTTTTCAATAAATGCTCTTTCCTTCTTTCGTCTTTGTAGCATCTCCCACTCCTAACCCAACCAAACCCTGATCCTTGTCTTTGTTGCCTCTGGTCCCCGTCCCCCCACCCCCCTCTGCCAACTCCAGCCTGCTTCATGACCGCTGCCCCACTATTGATACGCAATCTTTTAGGCATTCTGGGAACTTTGTCTTGCCCCTTTCCTCTGTTTTCACTCCCTTTTTGAAGACTTGCTCCCCTCTGCCACCACCACCCCCACAAACAAAAACACCCGTGCTCATGATTCAGCTATTAAACAGCATTGATTCACTTTATCTTGTGGGTGTAAAGGTGAAAACCCAAGTAATACTGGGATAATTCCAAATACAATGTAAATGCATTTTTTAAAAAAGTTAATTTGATTTTCATGCTATCTTGATTTCAATTTTGTATATGTGTGTTGATTATGTTGCACTAAGATACAAGTACCTTTCTTACCACTTGCATGACTTTCAGACCATGATGTACATGTACATGTTTTTATGGAAATGTAGCAGAAATGGGATTATTTTAAAATGTGAGTTATAAATCAGCCATTGGCAAGGAAGAACATCTACTGTAGGCTCTTCATTCCAACTTGTTTTAAGTAAACAAACGGGTAATAAACGGATGGCTGAGTAAGCAGCCCAAGAAGACTAGAAATAAATGTTTAAAAATGCACCACTTGTATTAGAATAAGGTTATCTCTGGAGAGTGAGGGGAAATATCCACGCTCTAATTTTAAATTAGTATGATTAGTTGGAAACATTGGGTGCCTTTAATCCCTGTCCCTAACAGAGATTGCCACAGTAACAGACTCCAGCCTTGCCAGTATTTCTATCTTCAAGGATTATTTTTTCAGAAATAAATTGATGTTCCTGTATTTTTTTTCTGGGCCTACAAAAGAAAGGTCATCACAAATACCACTTCATAGCAGGGCCAAGGCAATGTACATCCCTCAATTGATTCTTGGTATGTATCCCAAATGGCTGGGGTGCATGTTTTCATGGAATCTACTTTCACTGAGTTCCTTGAGTTGAACAATTTTCTGAAAAAAGTTAGACTTCTATGATATTCATTGGCTTCAGTGATTTATGGGAACCCTGTGAAAGACATAATACTGTACTAATTGTCAAAATTTTAACAAGAAATATTCTGCATGTTCTGTTTTATGCATCAAGTAATGTCCATTTTAAAATTGCAGGTATGAATGACGGTTCAGAGTGCTTAATCTTTCAGATATGGCTACCTAATTTGGATTGCTAGCTTGGTTTTGCTTTCTGTGCACAGCACTACAATGATGCAATGTATTACAGTAATTATTTGTTTGGTTGTGGACTTTAGTACAGCACCATTATGTGGTGGACATGGGTACTACTGTACTGAATAAGAAATCACACAAAATTCTAACTTGAATGTCATAAATTGTTTTCGTAGGGATGAAGTCCTGTAGCTCAGTGGTTAGAGCACTCGCTTTGCAAGTGAGAGACCTGAGTTCAATCCAGGCAGAGGGCGAAACCTTGGGCAAGTTTCCTTACTCCACACACCTAATAATAATCCCTCCAAAACTAAAAACAATAATAAATTGGTCATTTTCAATCTACGACTGTTTGTGGGACATTGCTGTGCGCAATTGGCTGCCGCGTTTGCCCACAAATATACAGTCAATTCACTTTACAATGTGTTCTGTGAAGCGCTTTGGGATGTCCTCCCGACGTGAAAAGCGCTATATCAAATGCAAGGATTATTATTATTATACCCCATTTTCTAGTGATGTCCTATGAAATTGCTCTTCATACTAAGATTTTACTGTAATGCTCAACTGGACTTTAAATGTTAATACTGTGACTGTCTTGGGATTTCAAGCTTCTTCAAGGCTTTCGTAGAATCAGCTCAAAGTATCTTTAAAATGTTCTTCCCTTTCTCCCTACCTCTCTCACTAAGGTGGACTTCAATAACAAGTTAGAAACCCTCAATTTGCAATGGAAACAGAACAGTGAATTTATTAGAGCTTTCCAGCTACTTCACAAAAGATTTTCTGGAGAGCTTGAAATAATACAAGAGCATTTTCAGAAATATGGCTATAAACCTTTGAATCTTAGGAAAGATGAAGGTATGTAAGATAAGAAAAGTAAGTAAGTGTTGGCCTACAGTTAACCACTTACTGCCATGATCCTGGTGTTTGTTGTCTTTTAGTACTAATAAATGGAAAGCTCATGAGCATTTGACTATTTTTCTGCAATCAACATCTGCTTCTAGCCTTACAGATTAAGTTTGAATAACATTAAAAATTGCGTTGTAAATTTTAATGTAGATATATAGAACCATTGCAACTATTTTACATCCTGACAATATTTTGCAAAAGTCATGTTTCAATTCTAATGTGAATTTTCTTAATTTGGTATTCTTCTACAATAGTCTTTTTAAGAGAAAATGACATCTATAAATGAACCCTCTTGTAAGTAAATGTGTCCCATTTACTTTCAGTATAGGGGCATTAAAATACAACATATTTTGGTTGTAGAAAAAAAAACTGTCCAAGTGTTCCCTTCTAGCAGTGAGCAGGAATATAGGGGAACAGGAGGAGGCCGGCCCAGCAAGCCTGTTCCATCAGTTTATTAGATCTTTTCAGATCTTTTAATCCCAATGCTCCGCCCGTTCACCATATTCCTATTTACAAAGTGTTTTTAGTGCTGGCAGTTTTCATCTGTGCAAGTTCTCTCTTTCACATTTATAAGTAGGCTATTTGACTCATTGAGCTTCTTCCACAATTTTATTAGTTCTTTGTTTTTCAATCGCCGAATATAAATGACAATTTAAAATTAGAAGATTTCCAACTTGGAGTCTTAGTCTTTTTAATTGAGAAGAAGAGCTCACTGTTGGTGGTGTCGACAAGTCTCATGAATGTGGACTTTCATGAAGGAAGACAACATTTTCATATTAAAAACTGTCACAAAATCTCCAAAGCAATGAAGCAGAAGCCATTGAGGTTGGAAATTACACATCTGCTCATACCAAGCAGAAAGCTCCAAGTTTACTTTGGTTCACAAAAAACACAAACCACGTGAAACTCAAATATTTTTCCTCAAAACCTTTAAACTTGGCTTGTTCAAGTACCGTTGGAGTAAGGGAAGATAAGCCACCACAACTTGAAGCTTGTTTACTCTAAACAGTGATATAAAAAGCGTGATTAAAACTACAGATTGTAAGATCACAAAAAAGGGCTCAAATTTCTGATGCCTTGGTAGTGAAATCAAGGTTTTTAAAAGAAAACCTGATGCATATGTGAGGAGAAGGGATTAGAGTGATATAGAAGGGGTTGAGACTCGTGCAGAGTGTAAACACTGGCATAGACTAGTTGGGCTAAATAGTCTACTTCCTTGCCCTATCACTTTGTAACTGTCTTCTTTATTTGCTGAAGACCAATCTAAAATTACATGATGACAACTTTAGAAGTATTGGACAGATTTTTTGTTTTTAAATTATTTATTTTTTGCGCTGGAAGGCACATCATTTTGTTCCAGTACGTCTCCATATTCTCACAACCCTTTATTGATTTATTAGAAGAACCACCAATGGGGTTGACAAATGGAGAAACTGAAAACTTTGAGGATACGGAAGAGAAAAGCAGTGAAGTTTCAACTACACCACCTAAGAAGCCTTCACTGAATGATCCCTTAAACACCCCCCACATGGAAGATTTTGGAATTGGACACTTAATGCTTCAAAACACATGGAGACTACCACAAAATATGCAAACTCCAGTGCAGAAAGTCACTGACAAAGACCATATGAAGGTCCGAGGCTGGGTTCCCACTCTGCCAAAGACTCCAAAGTGCACATTACATCTGGATGATGAGTTCCTCTGCACTCCCAAAATGGAAGATTTTGGCATTACAGAACATACTGCCTGTGTGAATGACTTTACCATGGAACTGTACAATAAATCTGATCAACCAAAGCTTGACAGGTAATGTAAAACTGAGATTAATTCTAGGGTTCAAACTGGACTGTGGAACCTTTGAGCCATTGGTTTTGAAGACATTAATTTTTGCTTGGGCACTGAAAAACAAAACAGCTCCAAAAAAAGCTTACTATAACTAAACCGTTAATATAAATGCAAAGACCATCATTTTAATTTAAAATAATTTAAATCTTTATTCTCTTTGCTACTTTTGCATCGAGTTTTCTCTTTCCTTCTCTTTTGATTTTGAATTTTTTGTCTTGTTTTCTCCTTTTTTTTCTACTTTTTGTGATTTTTTTTTGCCGCTACATCCAACTCCCACTGTCCATTAGGAAAGTAGGTGAAAAATTCAGGTCCATTTAAGATGTTGTATCAAGCTTCCTTCCGTCTGCCTGTTCATTTAGACATTGACGATTCCATGCCGCTTTTCAAAGAGAAGGGATTTCCTCCTGGTGCCCTGGTCCTCCAAATAAAATTAGTCATTCACATTGTGACTGACATTGTGACAGTACGATATTACTGTGACAAATTCTCTGCCTTGTTTGCCTGCAAGTGCAGTCATTAGACTAAAATAGTAAAATTATGTACAGTGTTTTGAGACATTTTGATGACTTGATAAGGCACTTTATCAAATGTAAGGATTATTATACTATTATTGCAGTAAAGACTTTCTAAGTAGAACTTTATATACATATATATATTATGTGGAAACTACTCTTTCAATCTCACGCATGTTACCAAAGGGAAGTGCTGAGGTGTGTCCAAACAAACAACTTAAAGATGGTTCAGAGACGCATTGAAGAGGGCTAGTGGACAATTATCCGACTGCTTAATAACTGTGTGGCCTGGACTAGAAAACGGGGAGATCAATTATCAACAAATTCTTATTCTCAAAGCCAAATCATCATTACCTAGAATACTGTCCGGCTTGGAAGGTGCTATATAAATCCAAGTTGTTGTACTGTAGAGTAATTAACTTTGTGGTGGAATGCTGACAATTCTGTTAGTTATTTCTATAATGTAAATTAATCTGCAAGATTTTGACTATTTTGTTTTCTGTATCCTGTAGAGTCCTGTAGCTCAGTGGTTAGATCACTTCCTCATAAGCAAGAGACCGGGGTTCGATTCCCGGCAGAGCAAAATGTTGGGCAATTTTCCTTACTCCACACGCCTCTGCTTACCTAGCAGTAAGTAAGAACCTGGTTGTTAGTCAATTGGCAGATCGCTTTTCTGGGGATAATAAAAAATCCCCCCAAAATTGGCCACTCAATCCACGACTGGGAGACTGTGGGACACTGCTGTGCGTAATTGGCTACCGTGTTTCGCCAACAAAGGATATTTACAGGATATTCTGTGAAACGCTTTGAAACGCCCAGAAGATGTGAAAAGCGCTATATTAAATGCATGGATTCTTATATTTATTATTATCACTTCTCTCCCAATTTTATTTCCCATAATCGTCTGTACAGGCGTCACCCAATACCAGCGACTCGAGCAGATGAGCAAACTATGCGTAAACGGACTGCAGACATTCCTGCCATCTCCTTTATGAAGCAGCAAAAAGTCCATAATAGTAAGTAATCTGAATCTATGACACAACATTTTGAAGTTTTTGTGGTTAGGTGGCCATTATTAAATTATTCTCTTTCCAATGTTAGGCATATAGAGGTTGAGCATTATGATGGCATTGAGGACAGAGTAAAGTGGGGGCTTTTGTGATGTCCACATCTGAATCTATTCCCTTTTTAGCAGTACCTAATGAACCACTACATTCAGAGACTCAAAATTAAATGCATACATTTCAGTGTGACACAATTGGTAATTTTGCTACCATCCCATGCTTTTGTAGAATTTGGAGATAATTTAAATCCTAAATTATAGAACCGAACTGAGAAGTCTCGGCACAATTTCCATGTGTAATATGCACTAACAGTAAAATGTATGCAATTTGTTTTGGTCCAGTTGTTTGTATCCTCGGGACTTGTTAGAAGGTTTTGAAAAATAGAACTCTTTAAAATTTAATTATTTTAAATCTCCTTGCTGTGTGAGAGCGCATGATTCTAGAGTCAGCCTGCATTTGAGTGGTATGTGCAACTGTTGAAAGTGTGCTTTCCTTTCCAGTGTTGTCCCTCACTGAATCATTTTCCTCAACTAGTTTAGTACGTAGAACAATATCTGTACCTAGGTTCGTAAATTTTGAGCCTCAAGTCAAGCTTTCTGCAGATCAATAATAAAAATCGACTAATTTCCCATTTTTTCTAGCTGTAGAATTGTTGAATTCGCCTTTGCCCCCCGTATTCTGCACACCTGGTCTGAAAATCCATAAAAAGCAAATTCCAGTTTTCTCTCACACTCCAGAAGATACAGAAAGGTCAAGTGATTTGCTACCATCTCCCTCGGTACCAAATTTTGAGACTCTATGGATGAAAAGGAAATGTACTGTAAGTCTGAGCTTGCCTCAAGCGTATTCTAATGTACAATTATACCTTCAAACATCTGTTCATATTGTTTCGGTGTTGTGCAACTGGTGATTTAAATGTGACACATTCGCCCACAAATATACAGTCAATTCACTTTACAGTGTGTTCTGTGAAGCGCTTTGGGACGTCCTCCCGACGTGAAAAGCGCTATATCAAATGCAAGGATTATTATTATTATTATTATTATTATTATTATGTATTATATCAATAATACTAAGTATTATGTGGAGGGGGAGGGGGGGGATGGGGAGGGAGAAGAGGAGTCGGGAGAGAGAGGGGGGTGCGGAGGGATGCATGCCAAACAATTGATCTAAACAATTGAGCTTTATTCTTCTATAATTTTTTGAAAAATAGTTTGAGTTAGGCACACAATGTCACAGATTGACCCAATCTGTGAGGAGGAGGAAGGGAGAGAGAGGATGCCTTCATTTTGAGCTGTAAATTTTCTGAGTATGCTTGGCATTTAAATCTGACATTGTATGCAGATTTTAACTATATTTAGGATAAACTTATAATATTTGTATATTTTGTTGATTCTTGTCATGATCTGATACATCAACATATGTACATACATCAACATATATACATCAACATCCATAATTTCTCCTGTCTTCCAATAGTTCACTTACATACACAGACTGGGTATGAACTATCAGATCTAAAATGAGCTGTTACATAATTTATAGCGATGTAAAAGTGCTATATAAATGTAATTTATTGTTGTAAATTGAGCAAATGAAACAAACTCCCTTTGAGGCACTTTTCGTTATGTTTTCTGTATCTATAGCAGTTACATCTGAAAGATGAAGAAACTGCTGAACCAGTAGAGAAACCTGGATCAGATCGGTTCAGTTCAGAAGAACCCGAACCACCAATAATTAAATCACCATTGCCCCTGCCAAAGATGACTAATTACGATCACCTTTTGAATACTCCACAAGCCCCGGAAATGAACATGCAGATGAGTGACAATGTTCTTAAGGTACCTTTTTCCCCTTATTTCATTTTTTCTTAAAATTTCAATGAAAAATGAATTGTTGCTGTTTGATAGCAGGCATGTCAGCAATCATAAATATTCCCTCCTTGGAAAGATCACCCTTCTGGACAGATTCCAGAACAATGTTTCACATGCAGCTGTGTTTGTAGAATCCATTTATATGCTGGAATAAATTTTGTTTTTTGGTCATCTGGGTGTGCAACACAGCAGAATCTCATCACCATGTTTCAGAGTATCCAAAGCAGACTGAGTTCCATGCAGGGCACCTAAACCGAGAAATTCCCGTGTCTGGAATAGAATACACACTCTTCCCCGGAGGGACATACCCTTCTTATCTAATTCTGGAGAGTATTAGGCACAGGTTGGCTTGGTACTCCCAGAGTGTGTGTTGGGTTACTAACCAGCTGAAACTGCAGAGCTTGCCATTGAAAGCATCATCCGGCAAGCTTCCCACTGCTTGTCTAACCATGTTATCTTATTCGTACAGGGTTAAATTGTGTTTGCACATAGCTGCACCATCATTGCTACCTGATATTTTTTGTAACCTAACTGTACAAGAGCCAAAGAATACCGTTTTTTAAAAAAAAATCAAAAGTTATATGTTCATTGAATTAGTTGGACATTTAGGAAAACCACTTTTTAAACCCTTAGAAAGTAAGTATCCTGACGTGCCCTTCTCTGTCTCCTTTTTGCTGAGCACCTTTGGGATTTAACAGTAGAACCAGAGGACACGCCCTACAACTGAAAGGGGTAGATTCAGAACAAATCTGCAGAAACTACTTTAGTGAGAGAACAGTAAACTTATGGAACAGGCACCCTAGGGAGACAGCGGAAGCAGAAAATATCATTTGTTTCAAGAATAAATTAGATAGATTTCTGCTAGAAAATACGCAGAATGCTTCCTTCAAATGCAAAGATTATTATATTAATATCATAAAATAATATCTTGGGATACAGTGTATAGTTTGGGACACGACATGCCAAGTGACTGCCAGGATGGTGGAAGGCGAACTAGATGGACCTTGGTCGTCTTTCGCCTCGCAAATTCTTATGTTCTTAATGATGGACAAGTGTGACTTGGAGTGACACGAGTCAGTTACTCCAGAGAGTATAGGAAGAACTTGTGACATCCTGTTGCAGCATCTAATCACAACTATTGGTTTCTTTGGCTTGCATTCCTGGCTTTCCAGTGCCCTCCTGACTTGAAAGGCGCTTTACAAATATAATTTGTTGTTACTTGTACACTCAAGTGCAACAATGTCTACCCAAAAGGATAAAGTGATTATTGTTTTGTAACTGCACTTGTTCCTTGTAACTTGCAATTAATAGCTTCTTTGCATTAACACACTAACCAAATTACTTGATTTGATGTGTAGATTCTGTCTTCATACAATGTCAATCGTATGACTTCTCATGATATGAATACAAGACACATCAAGTCCAGCTGTTTCACTTCTGTTGGTGCAGTGACCCCTGTATCCAAGAAGAAGCCTGCTAAAGAGAACTGGTAAGGTGTAATCAAATCTTTTGTGTTCTACAATGAAGACTTGTGTTTTTGTCATGAAACTTTCTAAATCAAAATAATTAGCACTACAATTTTAAGTTGTTCAGTATTTAGTAATTAACCTTCACAGTGTTAAATAGACTAATTTTTCTGAGTGAATAATGTGTTTGGTCACTAATGCTTTAATAATAAGACTGGCAGTTGATATATCAAATTGTCGAGATGTCTCAAAGCGATTCGCAGTGTATGCTATAAAGTGGTGTTGCTGTATATTATGGGACTGAAAGTGTCACTATTAATGTGGCACTTATCAAAATTAAGAGATGTTGTCATGGGTGATCCTCAGCATACAATTGTACAGACAAGACATTCTATTTTGAGATCCCAGCCTTTCTCATAATTCTCAAGCGGAGAAATAAATGAGTAATAGATATACTTCAGTCATTGTTCAGAATGGAAGGATTCTAACCAGAGTATTATCTTATTTCTTTTACTAACATACTATGTGAGTTTGTAGGTCGATTTTACGTGGAATAATTTGGTGTCTAATTGTTTGTCTTTTATCTTTTCAGAAAGTGCCAGACAGCTAATTCTGCTAAATGTTGGTGAAAAGGAACTGAAACCAAACTCTGGAAATTGGTTCACCCACTGGGAAACCAATGCATTGTTTTGTGTGACTAAATAATTGGAAAGTTTAGATGATTCTGTGTTGACTGTACTGATCAATAACAAATATAGAAGCAAATCCAGATTTACACTGGGTAAAATGGAATATGTAAATTGTGCTTCAGTATCAGGGAAGCATCAAAATAATAAAGTTTACATTTCCCAACATATTAATATAATTAAGGACACAGCATAGTAATTTAACTTTCCATTGGTCTACATAGGATTATATCATAGGCGTTGGTTTCAAAAATTAATCATTATTTGCCCAATTTCAAATAAGTTACAGGGGCAAGTTTTTGTTTTGGATAACATGACCTGCACAATCCACTGCTTTGCGGTCTACAAAATTTAACATTTGGATTTTGTTTGTGAAATAAATAGAATCACTCTTTTTGCAGTCTTTTTATTGTTCATAAAGATATTGCAGAAAATTAAAATCCTTCAGGTTACCTTTTCATGCTTTAATCATTTCAAATCCACTTGAAGAACATTTTTGTTACGATATTAAAACTTCCCTAGGATTATAGCTTACACTTTAGCGAATACTTTAAAAATCAACAGTAAATTAAATTAGAAACTAAATAAAATATATAAATGCACTCTTGAAAGCTTGATAATTTCAGTTATTTCCCTGTTTTATTCCAATGAAAGACGTCAGTTGGTTTTACAAACCAAGCAATTATGAAACCATTTAATTTTAATAGTGCTCGAAATTACAATAATCTACTTTTAAACCATATTTCTGGTTTAGTATTGTTGCACAAACTGAATTTATCTTAACCCACCAAATTAATTTCCTAGTTCCTGTAATTTTCTCCATAAGAGTAGATGAAACTGTTGGTGTGACACGGAGCCACTTGGGTCAGAAAAGTCCTTGGTGTGCCCAATTCTGAGCTAATCTCACCTGGAGAGGTGGTATAGTGTTATGATTTGATTACAGTATCTGCAGCTTTTGAAGAGAAGCACTGAGCAATGTTCCCACTCCTATCCCTGGCTGTGGAAGTTGAGCAATCTATTATAAAGTTCCTCCACCGTTGCAAGCTGCCAGCATTCACAATTTGGGATCAGGTGAAGAACAGCCACTGCATTGGAAAGGTGCAGAAAAATTGCTACAACTAGTGAATCTAAACAGCATAAGTAGACATTGTCACGTGAGGAATATTGAGGGTAAACAAAACTGGAAGAGAAATGATAACTCAATGTTTTGTTTGTGTTCAGTTTTATATCCCTTTTAGTCCTTTATTTTTCTTGCCACATTTTATTATTCATTTCACTGTGTACAGCAGTTGCAAAATCAACATTAACAACTGATGTCTAAGTTTTGTATTCTGAAGAAATACAGTTGTACTGTGATTTAGGCTTTTTTATTTAAAAAAGGAGTTAAACTTTTTTCAGACATGTGTGGTGCTTTCAGTTCACATTTTTTTTGAAATTAAATAAAATATGGGTGGAGTGGAGGTTTGAGCCAATCATTTACCATAGTGTGATTTACTGATAACATCTACAAATTTGTGGTAAGGAAACTCTGTGGAGTACATTGCCTGGACTACTTTGCTTGTAAAGTGTTCAAGAAATATTGTCAAGAGACCTGGCTTCAGTCCGCTAATTGTCTCTGTGTTGAATTCTGTGGTCTGATACTGTGCAGATGTACAAATGATCCAAGTGCATTCTAAAGCACGCATGTGATTTGAATTGTTTAATGTTGTATTTTCATTTAAATCACTAGTACTATGAACATGCATATTATGCACAGCTGTACAAGAGTCTATTACAATAAACAAGCTTAAAGTCAAAGAATATTGTTCTTTAATTTTTTCAAAAAGTTTTTTTCCAAATGAGGATAATGGAAAAATGTTTCTTCAAAACCTTTTTATGCAGTAAACTCAGCTTCTTTGTTTAGGTATCAGCCTGGCTCAATTGGTAGCACTCTCACCCTGAATCAGAAGATTGTGGGTTCAAGTCCCATGTAGTGGGTTCAAGTCTAGGCTGACATTCGAAAGCAATGCTGTGGGAGCACTACATTGTCAGAGGTCCTGTCCTTTGGATGAGACGTTAAACTAAGGTTCCATCTGCCTTTTCAGGTGAGCATTAAAGATTTCATGGCATTTTGAAAGGTGAAGGTCATTTCTCTCAAGTGTCTTGGCCAACAATGTTTCAGATGGAATGGATCATTCACTTTGTGACAGTTTGTATATTTTATAGGCAACTCCAGCAGCCAAGTTGCACATAACAATGTTCTGAAGTCACAACTACAGTAAATTCTATCCTTGTGATCAAATGCAAGGATTATTATTCTACAAATATAGATTTGATCCTATCAGACTAATAGTCATGTGTCCAATACAAGGGACTTTTCCATGCTTGACATGCTGTGAAGAAATAATCTAGTTGAAATGTATTAAGAATAGAAATATTCTTGTTCTATTTAATAATTTCCTCTACTACCAAAAGACCCCAGAAGTCCAGGCTATCTAAACGATAAATAAGTCCTGAATGTAATAATTTGATATAGCGCCTTATGGTTTTGAGACGTCTCAAAGAGCTTTACAGAATACACTATAAAATGTTTATTTTTTGTGGGTGAATTTATGGAATTCGTTTTCTTAAAGCCAAATACTCTATTCCTGTTTAATGCCTTGATAATAGCAGATGATTTAACTTTGAGGAACAATGTACCTGGTTGGGGGAAGAAATTATCAGAATTCTGACTTTATCCGCATGGTGTTCCCTAATTAAAAAAGCAGGTGTGGACAAGGAAAGACTGGTAACTTACTTCATTCCACCCTTGGTTGCATTGCCTACCAGCACATGCCAAAGGATGAGAATCGAATGCTTCATTTTGGTCTGATGTGTGTTCTGGCAGTATTGCACTGGTACAATTTTTCAACAAGGAAATAATTTTAGGATCTTATTCCAATGAAGTGCGATGGTTGGTTGGTTGGTGCTGTTAAGTGCTCATTTTGCAAATGTAACACCAACTGTTTACATGGAAAAGTTCCATTAAAATGCTGGAATAAATAATAGCGGTGAAAGATAAATACGGGAGCCAGGATAGGAGCAGACAATCTGAAACACAAACTTGTGCATGCAAGCAGAAAATTTAATTGGGAAAAGGATGGAGTGGCTGGGACATAAATGAGTCAGAAAAGGAGTGGACCACAGAAGGGAAAGTCATTCCAGCAATGATTAGCAGAACTTATAAACTATCCTTGCAAATCTCACAGTAAAACTGACGTGCTTTGCCAATTGTTGGAACTTCAACACGATTTTAATGGCATCAAGTAAACCCTGCACTTACCATAACCACCACGAGATGGGGTCTGCTTCTTTCCTAAGGCAATGCAGTGACACAATGCCTTGAAGCAGATGAAACCTCAGGTAAGGTTTTTCTGCCAACCTGGGCTTACTCTTGGAATTTATCATATTTAAGTAATGTGAAACTCTGGTTTGGATACTCTTAAGCACAGTGACAGGCACGTACCTGACAATTTTTTTTAAAATTATGGAATGAAAAATACGTAGCTGGTTGGGATGCATCTTCCATGATGTGATTGAAACGATAATGCCCCAGACAATTGCAAAGAGCATTTGGGCAAAAATAAGTGGGGGTTTCCTTGGAGCTGAACAGGGAATGTTGGAATTGAGTCAATCCTCTGTAGCAGTTACAGTAGTCTGGTTCCTGAGACAGGCAGATCTGCAGGACACCCATCAGCAAAATTTGATCACTGGGGACAAGGATTCTTCCCACTCATTACTATTAACGGGTGTTGGTCTTAGCTGGACATTCAGTAGGAGATTTGCCAGACAGTGTTTTCAATGGTATACTGTGTGGTTTTAGCTGCTTAAACGGGCCTTGGGATGTCCTTCCACGGTGAATTACGCTATATAAACAGAATTTTGTTGTTTTTAAACTCCAGCAGTCCCTCAACTGACACTGCATCAGATGCAAGAATTTTTTTTCATCTAGAACTTTTGTTTGGTTTGAATACTCTTAAGCATGGTGATGGGTTTTTACCCAGCTGACTAAAAGATGCAGAGCAAAGGCCTGGAGAAATTAAATTATTCACTATATTCTTCAGTTAAATCTCAACTGTCTACTCACCTTCCCTCTTGAGTTCTGTTAATGCTGTTAAAATTATATATATTGGATTTACAACAACTTGCATTTATACAGCACCTCTCACGCAGGGTAGCGTCCCAGAGCCCTTGTATTTAATACAAGAGGGAAAAGTGCACACGATTTGGAAGTAGATGGCGTACAGGAAATGGGAATAGGAAGGGTGGGTATTGCACGTTTACTAGTTGGGCTGGAAGGTCTATTTCTGTTATTCTACAAAATGTTAACCCTTAAAAGTTATGTTTACCAGGGTCTGGTATGGAATTGTATTGGCTTGCTGAGGTGGGAGCTGAGTCAACAAAAACAACTGGATTATCTCAAATCAAAGTGCAGAGATTTACAAGTAAGGATCCACTGGACAACATGACTGTGGTACGCTTAAATTATTATTTTACATAAAGTTTTGAAATTGTTAAAAAATTTATAGTTCAATTAAAATCAAACCATTCTGGCCACTGGCTTTAAGTTTAAATTGTGAAATAAAAGTAAGGAAATCTGAATTAACATTTAGAAAATTAATGTCTACTCATCTTGAAAAGTATGTCAAAGTCAGCTAGTTCCAGCAACATTAGGTTTGAATAGTTTTAAAGTTCAGATTGCACCAAAAACACTGCTTGGGGAATGTGTGTAAATGAATTTTGCATGCAAGTTCATTTCTGAACAGCTAACATACAAGTGTTCCTAGGACATATCTACAATAAACCTCACATAAGTCGTATCAGTTAGAACCATACATTTAATATGACTTATGCAAAATATGAGTGATGCAAAACTCAATAGTAAATTCAACAGGACTTGGGCAATTATATGATTTACGCCAAGACTTATGGGAGTTTTACTGTCCAATGGTTCTGGAATGCTGAGCTATGCATCATTTTTAAGAGATGTTCTCTTAAGAACCTGTTGGTAGTAAAACTTTATAGTCAGGAATGTCACATTTTGGACGACACAATTATTGTACAGAACAATTGTACAAAGGTGGCTGATAGACTCCAGCAACAGCCACTATTATTTCCATTCTCCGCACTCTGTCCTCCAAACCACCGCTGCTGCCGCTGGCCTGGGAGGATGTTCACCAGTGAGGGAGGGAGAGGAAGTTGGACTGTTGGAAATGGTCGTGGGCTGGATAAAATCATCCGCTGGGCTGGATGCCACCTGTCTGATGGACCATGCTGGGGTAAACAGTAATAGGTGACCATTGATCAGCAGGTCATTGACCAGAGCACACACATTAAGGTAATCATAACAGGAATTAAGTTTTCAAAAAAATTTATTACACAAAGGGTGATTGGAATGTGGAATTCTTTACCACAAAATGGTTAAGTCCATAAATTTGTTTAAAAAGCAATTAGATAGACACTTGAAAAAGAGGAACATTAAAGCGTGTGGGGAGTAGGCAAAAGAGTAGAATTAGATTCAGGTGGCTCATTTTGAAAAAAAAAACAGCAATGCAGATTTAATGACCCAAACGGTGCGATTCCCTGCTGTAACATTCTTTGATTCTCAGACAGGCTACGAAACACCTTGCTGCTGCTCAGGCTGATATCAAGTTACTCATCGCACCAGGGACTTTGTTTTTCTTCATCTTTATTAAGCTTACATCACTTGTCAAGCTTTGCAGAGTTCCTTGGTTAGGGGTGGTTTTGTTGCACTTATCTGCCTTCAATTAACTTTTGGAAAACATTTCTGCTCTCATTTAAAAAGGAATACAATTCTACATTTTACTAAATGTAGGCTGTTATGGTTTCTAGACTTTTATGAAGTCTCAGTTTCAAACCAGAAGCATGTTTTGCTATTCCTGTAATCAGTATTTATTTATACACTTAAAACATTTTGCGAAACATACAATCCCACAAAGACAGTTTAATATTTTTTTAAAAATTCCAACCAGTCAATTTTAGTCCAAATCCAAATTTACAGGGGCAGACTTACAAATCCACAAATGTTACCACTATTCTGTTAAAGATCAGGTCATTTACAAAAATTCACCCAGTTTGAAAAGCAAAAAAAATACAAAGAATGAATCAAAGGGTTTATCAAATCAAACACTTTCCTTGTTAAGTTTTACCAAGGCCAGCAACATCTAACAAGATAGGTTTCTTGTTCATATGTTACACATAAGTAGAAAAACCTAGGTTTATTTTTTGGAGGGAGGGTGGGGAGACGGGAGCTAATAAGGTCTCATGCGTCCAGGAGGGGGCGGTGCTCGACTTGGCGGTGTTATTGCTATGTCCAGGTAGTCCCCGATCTGAAATTTTTGTGACTGTAATGTCATCGAATCGTCTGGTCCTTTCCTTCCTGAAACAGTGGTACCAATCTCTTTCACTCTGTTACAACAAAAAAGAAATTAAGATATCTGAATGCAATTTCCCCAATATAAACAAGCAAACATCTTAACATTAAGACCACGCTCATAGCATAAATGTTTTAATAAAATATTCTACTTGCCTTTTCTTCATTGCTAATTATTCACTGCTCTAATCACCCAACTGAAGCCACAATGCATTTTTCCTCTTAATATTTTAACTTCCATTTAATTCATCAGCCTGAATACAGATTTGCATTGAAGCAATTTGTGCCAATATCAAAAGATATTTACCCTATCTTCATTAAACTACAATTCACACACAACCATAAATTACTTCTGCCCATCTTATTCTATAATTATTCTTATTCCATTATTTGAAGAGATAAGAGAATTTCTCTTGATGTCCCAGCCAACGATCCTCCAAATAAAATTGGTCACCCACTCCATGGCTGTTTGTGGGACACCGCTGTATGCAAATTGGATGCTAAATTCACCCAAAAAAAATACCGTCGCTGTACTTTACATCATGTGGGGCACTAACGGCGTCCTCCTGATGTAAATAGTCCTATACCAAAGGTAACGATTATTTATTTTATTATTAGATCTACTCAGCAATTATAACTTTGGATTCTGACTCTGCAAAGCCTGAGGACTATCATGAATAAACTTATCAGCTGGATACTGAGCAATATGATCACAAAGCTCACAGGATAGCTATAATCCCAGATCTGTTACATTGTTAGGGCAATTGTAATCGGGGCAAATAAGGAGAGGGCAAATCAACCATGACTTTGCACCCACTTTGGCTTTATCCAGTAATCCTTACTGTAAGTATCAGTGTCAACTAAGTATGAGGCCTTTCAATGTGGAATAGCTTAATGGCACTCAGTGATAGGCTAAAATATAAAGAATTGTCATTTGGGGGAGATGCTGTGTGTTACTGTTATGTCCAGGTAGTGTTTGATTCTAGACTCAGAGACATTGGGAAACTGTTAGTGCCCGTGGAACTGTAGCAGAGTACACACTGCCACCATCAGAAGAGGAAACTGGAGAGGGGGTGGAGTAAAGACAAATGCTGGCATATGTAATCAAAAAAGTAGTTGATCGTTTAATTGGTCACAACTTTGTTTAGATATTGTTACAGTAGAGGTAAAATTTTTATTGCATCATATTATTACATAGAATGTATAGCACAGAAACAGGCCATTCGGCCCAACTGGTCTATACCGGTGTTTATGCTCCACATGAGCCTCCTCCTGCCCTCCCTCAGCTAACCCTATCAGCAATAACCTTCTCCCTCATGTACTTATCTACCTTCCCCTTAAATGCATCTATGCTATTCGCCTCAACTAGTCCTTGTGGTAGCAAGTTCCACATTCCCACCACTCTCTGGATAAAGCTGTTTTTTTTGGATTTCCCTATTTGATTTTTTGGTGACTATTTTATATTTATTGCCCCTGGTTTTGGACTCCCCCACAAGTGGAAACATCTTCTCTATGTCTATCCTATCAAAACCTTTCATTATTTTAAAGACCTCTATCGGTCACACCTCACCCTATTCTTTCCAAGAGAAAAGAGTCCAAGCTTGTTCAGCCTTTCCTAATAGGTATTACCTCACAGTTCTGATATCATCCTTACAAATCTCCTTTGCACCTTCTCAGATGCCTCTATATCCTTTCTATGATATGGGGACCAGAACTGTACATAATCATAATCCAGTTTCTTTAAAGTTTAGTGAAAGGATATGCAGACTGTATTCAATATAATCAATACCTTACATAAGGAAATGAGAAGAAATGTTTTCAAGTTTGCAGTCAGTTCTCTTCAATGCTGGTTTCATCTCAGACAAATTAATTATGATGAAGCAATTAAAATAACTCATTGTCCAAGTAATAGTCTAATCCATTAAACCACATCTGTGCACTTGCCCACTCAGCTTTTCCTCACCCCTGAAACATTCCCAACCTTCACCACAACCTCTCCTCTTTGGCCAATGAGACTCTTACCCACACCTTTATCATTTCGAGGCTTGACTACGGCCAATGCTCTGTTCATCAGACTCCATAGTTCTAGTTTGCACAAGCTACAGACTATCCAGAACTCTGCAACCTGTGTCCTCTATTGCACCAGTCTATTATCCTCTTCCACAACTCCAACCCCCCAGCAGAGTTCAAGATCCCGTTTCTCCACCATTAAATTCCTATATGGTCTCGTCCCATCCTACCTCTGCAACCTCCTTCAGCTCTACCACTCCCTCCACTCAACAAGGACCAACCTGCTTCACGTCCTCCACGCTATCCACTCTACCAAATGGTGGACAAGCTTTCAGCCATTTTGCCCCCTCTCTCTGGAGCTCCAGCCGGAATCCCTCTGACTCCCTCCCCTTGTTAAAGATTCATCTCAATGTAGCTCTTTGACAGTGCTTTAGGACATCTTTCCCCTCCCTCTCGCCTGCCACCCCCAGCTCAGGTACCCAGCCAGCAGAGTCAAACACTTGGGACATCCTTCCAACGTGAAGATGCTATATAAATGTAAATTTGTGCTGTAAAGTTCTTAGCTCAAAAGCTTGTTAAGAAACTCTTGCTTTTTTTTTTACAGCATCCATAGCACATTCATATTTCAGAATATTGCAATTCCACTATTCGCCTCAATCCACACATTCTCGTTATTTTAAGGAAAGACTCAGGTCAACTGAAGTCCAAATAGGGTGCAGGGATGGGCCAGGGGGGTGAAGAGAAAGAAAATGTGAAATGTTCTAACCTGTAACCAGGCCTTTTAGGATCCGGATACACAATTGCAAAACTGAAGTGCGTTCCTTTCTTCCGAGCCTCAGGATAGACTTCCTTTACTAGGCTGGTTAGTTCCTTTAGTGTTGCATCCATCCTAAAATTAAAAAAAAATTCTATTGTTATGTAATATGCACAAACTAATATATAGCTATGATGGGACAGTGTTTGTATTACAAATGTAATACACCATTACAAATGTAATACAAGGTGTTACAATGCCAGAAACTGGTCCTTCCCATTACAGTATTATGCTTTTGATCAATAGGAATTATCAGTTAACGGAACAATTTTTTTTATAAGTGTTAGTGTATGTACTGGAGTATTAAGCAAGCTGCAAACTAAGTTTATATTATCTTAAACATCTTCTCCCACAATTTAGAGCAATAGCTGAATCTCCTTAGCTGCAAGATTAAATACATTTATAATACTAATCCGTTACATTTGATATTGTGTCATATCACATCGTGTCATCAAAATGACTCAAAGCACTTCACACAAACTTTATATTTATGTGTAGTGATGGTGTATTAGTACATGAATTGATAGTCAACGTACACACACCAGTATCCTACAAACAGCCATGAAGTAAATAACCAATATTATCTGGAGGATTGTTGGCCAGGACACCAGGAGAAACTTCTGTCTTCTTTCAATTAGCATCATGGGATCTTAAAGTCCACAAACAGGCAGATGAGGCCTTGGCATGAACTCCTCTGCACTGGAGTGTCAGCCTAGACGATATACTCAAAGTCCTGATGTAGAGCTTGAACCCAAAACCTCTTGACTGAGTCAAGTGTGCTACCAACTGAACCAGGTTGACAGGCCTCGTCTATGGCATCTAGTTTGGAAAGCAGATATTATTCTGTTATTCCCAAGTTGAATGCATTTTTGACTGCGCTCTCATCCAATTAACCAAAACTGAGTGTAATGCCTCCTACTTTAGACACGGTTGCTATAAAATTTGGACTTCTTATTCAATATTAATTTCATTACGTATCGAGGACGTGATAAGGCGCTATATCGAACGAAAGGATTATTATCAAATTAAAAAGCAATATTTAGCAACTTAAGTAATTGACCCATTTGCATTTTTTTGCAAAGGGTTAATAAAGCAGTTAACAATACAAAATACAACTCTGATTTTGCACATGGATAGACATGTACAAATGCAGTCTGCAACCACTTCATTTTCCCATATTATTCCTCCTTGTTTAGATACAAACAAATCTAAAACAGGAGGCTCTCTTGCGCTCAATTTCAGACAAGACCGCACTCGAAGATGCATTCGAATTAGGAAGTAACCTAAAAATAAGGTTCAGTGGCTTAGACTTGGTTTCAAATGGTCGCTTATTTACATCACCGAAGAGTTAACTAAGTTCAGAATTATGTTTCTAAAGTGAAAGCCGGTACTCACCAGGTGTAGATCTGAAGTTCACTGGATGGAACATTCCCTCTCGCAAAATCGTCCATTCTGTGATGCCTCCCGTTGTTGGTCGTGAACACGCGTAACAGCAGCGGGCAGGTCTGCACACAGAAACAACACAAAACAAACAAAACAAAACCGTGTAATGGAAGGAAGATCACAAAACCAACCGCACCGTCGCATCCGACACAGCGCCTCATCAAGTCGCCGAGACGCCCCAAAGCGCTTCACCGGTGATATTGCGAAGTGGGTTATGGACCGACCGTGTGGTTTGGTTGGGGCAGGTTTTTTTTTGGGGGGGGGAGTGGGGGGGGGGGGAGTGGGGAACAGTGGGATGTCAAATTTTTCCTCAGGAATTTGAAAAAAAAAGTTTTGATAATTGGTCGCACACAAAGACCAGGTCTGCAATTCACCCCCTGATAATCAGCTCTGGGGGACTCACAGGGGCCTCCCGCTGTAACAGCAGCAGCTGCCCTCCCTGACTGCCATTACCGCCTCTCCCCCCCCACCACTCCTCGTGTTGCCCAGACGCTTACAAATAAAAGCCCAGGCGCCTCTCCCCCCCCCACACACACACACACAGGCGATGGGCCGCTCTATTCAGCGCTGACCCGGGAGGCGGACGGCGATGGGCGGTTTTTTTTTTGTCGCGCGGGTTTGAATGAGAGCGCGAGCCGCTCGGGGCACCGCCGGGGCCTAACTCGGCCGCCCGCCCGGGCCCAGGGCCGCCACCCGCCTTAACAGCTACCCCGCCACCGGGCCACACTGACTTTTTCCCGGTCCACGGGCTTTTCTGGCTCCTTTTTAATCTCTTCCTGGGTGACCCTGGACTCGACGGCCATGTTCGCTACCCGCCGCTCCCTCAGCGTTGGCGACCGCACCATAGGTACCGGATGGGGAGCAGGGGGATGGCGCTGGAAGCTGCGCATGCTCACAAGGCGCCCGGGGCAGTTTGCCAGGACCCCTGGGCCGCCATCTTTGATGCAGGCAAAACGCAGCTTCCCCTCAAATGTGGCCAAATTGGGCGATTTTTTTGTTGTTGTCCAGAGCGCTTTGGCGGGTGCCTAATTTTTTTTAAAAAAAAGTGTAAGAGCAAAATCTGCAAAACTTGTTTTTGAAGACCCTTTGAAGACCTTTTCTTACACAGTTTCGAAAGCACTAATTCAAATTGGCCAGTTTGATACCCACAGGAGGCAACTCCTACTATTGGGCTAGTGTTTGGGCTAGTGTTTGGTGGACTTTGGGCTACAAACTTATTTAACTTTCTAGCAGATCCTGGATGGTGGTTACCAGGCGGCGCTCCGGGCTGCCACACCTGGCTAAGGTACAACAACAACAACAACAAAATTACATTTGAGAAGCGCCTTTCACGTCAGGAGGACGTCCCAAAGCGCTGAACAGTCAGGTGTTGGGGCCCGAGCATGGGGGAGGGGGGTGTAGGGGTGAGGGAAGGCAGAGAGGAGGGAGGGAGACCAATAATAATAATAATAATAATAATAATAATCCTTGCATTTGATATAGCGCTTTTCACGTCGGGAGGACGTCCCAAAGCGCTTCACAGAACACACTGTAAAGTGAATTGACTGTATATTTGTGGGCGAACGCGGCAGCCAATTGCGCACAGCAATGTCCCACAAACAGTCGTGGATTGAAAATGACCAATTTATTATTGTTTTTGGTTTTTGGAGGGATTATTATTAGGCGTGTGGAGTAAGGAAACTTGCCCAAGGTTTCGCCCTGCCTGGAATTGAACTCAGGTCTCTAGCTTGCAAAGCGAGTGCTCAACCACTGAGCTGCAGGACTCCACGAAGGCACCGTCGAAGAGAAAGGTCTTGAGACGGACCTTGAAGGAGGCAAGGGAGGAGGCGAGGCGAAGGGACTGTAGGATGTGGGGGCAGAGAGACTGAAAGCCCGGCCACCGATGGTGGGGCGGGTCGGGCGGGAGACATGGAGCAGACCGGAGCCCGATGAACGGAGGGAGCGGGCAGGTTGGTAGGGAGTCAGCAGGTCAGAGAGGTAGGTGGGGGCAAGGCCATGGATGGACTTAAAGGTGAGGATAAAGATCTTGAACTCGATCCTCTGGGGGATGGTGAGCCAGTGGAGTCGGGCGAGGGTGGGAGTGATGGGGTCACGGAGCCTGGTGCGTGAGAGTACACGAGCTGCTGAGGTTTGGATGATCTGCAGCTTGTGAAGGGAAGAGTTGGGAAGGCCGATGAGGAGGGAGTTTCCATAATCAAGCCTTGAGGTGACGAATGCATGGGTGTGGGTTTCAGCAGCCTGAGGGGTGAGGCAGTGTGGAACATTGTATTTATAACCTTTATTAGCCTTCAGAAGGGATCTAGATAAATACCTTCAAAAAGGGTGAACTACCCGGGTATATGGAGAAAGGGTCGGCAAATGGGACTGAAGGGATTTGCTCTTTTTTTAAAAAGAAGTCTGCGACAACAATTTGCCTTTACATAGTGGCCTTCATCCAGGGTAGTGTCTCAGGGTGCTTAACAGGGGTTTGACACTGACCTGGGGAGAAAGGAGAGGTGACTGTGGGCCGTTGACTGTAGAATTCGATTGTGGTTGAATCAGATACTGTAGATGCTTTCAACAACAACAACAAATTACATTTATATTGCACCTTTCACCTTGGAAGAATCTCCCAAGGCATATACACATGTGGATTGCAACTCCAATTAAAACATTTTGAGACACAAAAGTTCTTTCCTTAGGGACAAACAACAAAAACATACGTTTGTATAGCACCTTTCACGTCAGGAGGACGTCCCAAGGCGCTGGACAATCAATGTTTCAGATCTGAGCTGGGGATCGGGGTGGGTGATTGGCAGGGGTGGAAAGGAGGGTGATCGAAGGCACGGTAGAGGAGGTGGGTCTTGAAGGAGTGGCAAGGGAGGGGGCGAGGCGGAGGGACTGCGGGATGGGTTTCCATAGGGTAGGGGCAGAGTGGCAGAAGCCTGGCCCACTCGCCAATGGTGGGGCGGGTGAGACGGGAGACGTGAAGCAGGCTGAGTGGAGGGAGCAGGCAGGTTGGTAGGCGGTCAGGAGGTCACAGGTAGGGGGGAGCAGATTGTTGTACAATTATTAAGTTATTTAGGAAAGTCAGAGCCATTTTAAATTAATATAATTTCACTATGATCTATGGAAAAAGTCACATCCTTGTATCAGTTGTTCCTACAGATATCTTTTCAAAAATAACATTGGGCACAAAATAGCTAGGCCAAGGTAGGAATTAAACATGCTGAAAGCAGGAAACACTGAAATCATCTTGTTTCTTTCAAAGTGAGCTATAAAGGTAATCCATGTATAACAAACCACAGTTAACCACTCAGGCCATTAACTGCTCAGCACTGACGCAGTTTATAAGAAACTAGAGATAAATAGCCGTTGCATCTTCGTTTGTAACCAAAGGATCCAATATGGAATGTAGATTGACAAAAAGACAGACATTTCACCTTTATCTATACTCAGCTGGGAGGACTCCTTTTAGGAGGACTCCTGTGGGAGGACACCTATCAAAGCTACACTATCCAAAGGGGTTTACTGCGTGATCTGGCAGGTCTTCAAGTTATTGCAAGGCAAAAAAACTGCCATACATTTGTTGCAGAACATATTAGTATAGATGTTTCACTTTAGAAGGGTGTGTGCTTTCCTCTGTGGCTACTTTGTTGCAGAAACGAAGCATACCTCATATTTTGGAGCTTAATTCAAGCATTTTTTAAATATAGCTCATCAACGATAGGGAAAAAAATGCCCATGACACTCACGAATGCAGGACCTTTCTGATTAGGTATAAATCATGTCTTTACGTCAATCGTTTATTGTGTTATTATCGGATACACAGGCAGACACACAGACATTTCATCTTTATTTGTATAGATATATTAAGAAAAATACAGACACTAAGTGAAAATACCCACAAATACATTACAAATGGAAATGTAAACACACTCCAAATGCTGAAAACGCATAGGATTACTGTACATATAAAATATTCTTGTGTGTATATTATAATAATTCTTAATAATAGACTACCATGTACATAGACTTGTAATAGATGAACCATGATCCATTCTGCCTTCCCCCACCTCTGCAGCATTGCCGCCTTGGCTACTACCTCTCCTCTCGGGCTGCCAAGACCCTCATCTGTGCTTTCATCACATCCAGGCTTGATTGTGCTAACTCCCTACTCACCAGACTTTCTAACTCTTCCCTCCACAAGTTGCAGATTATTCAGAACTCTGCAGCTCGGGGCTTCTCCTGCACCAAGCTCCGTGAGCTAATCACCCCCATCCTCATCTTTCTTCCCAATCCATCAGAGAATCGAGTTTAAGAACCTCAGCCTCACTTTTAAAGCTCTCCATGGTCTTGTTCCTCCCTGTCTCTGCAACCTACTAAAACCTTACCAATCTGTCCGTTCTCTCTGCTCAGTGGGCACTGACCTGCTCCATGTCCCCCACTTGCCCCCCTCCAGCCTTTCTGTCCCTTTCCTCCACCCCTTTTGATTCCAACCTCCAGTTTGGGTGCAAACCCTTAACTCTTTTGCACCTTGGGACGTCCTACTGATCTGCAAGATGCTTTATAGTGTAATTTGTTGCTTCTTCTTGTCGTTTTTGATATGGTAGCTGAAGTCCAAACATCTCAAAGTAGTTCACAGCATTTTTTTACGTAAAGTATAATGACTGTATATCTGTAGGCAAACGCACATACTGTACACATATCTATATATATGTGTATGTACAGATATGTACAAAGAGGAATGTCCTGTGCGCTAGAAATATGCATACACATTTACACTATATGTGGAAACTTGCAGACAACGTACAATTTAAAATATATGCCAAATCACTTTTATAGGATTTATATTGCACTTGGCATTTTAGGGTTGGGTCTTCTCCAGCAAATGTTTGTAACAAACAGAGATTATGTCACAAATGTTCTGTGCTTCTTTTCTCCTCCCTATGCTAAGGATGATGATACTATTTTACAGCATCTTTATTGCTACACAAGTGAGATCAGTTTACTCAGAACACAAACTGTATAGCTCAGTGTCATCCTATTTTTTCACAATTATTTATTTTGATATTCTAATGTATATTGTACACTTCCATCAATAACTTGCATTTATATAGTGCCCTTCATGTCACGGCGTCTCGGAGCACTTTGTTCTTACAACTATTGATCTTAGTCAATCAGGCTCACTGCAATCCTTTCTTCGGCATACCACAAATTAACTGTTTGTAACAAGGTCGAATTCAAATCTAAAGATCAGGAGCTTGCCATGTGAGTATCATGATTAAAAAGTACAGGCATTGTTTTCTGTGTTGCTAAGGTTGCTAATCCTCTGATGTATCAGAACTCAATAAAACTCATACTGTGCGAAAACAGACAAAAAGTGGCAGGCATGCACTCCTGTTAAAGAAGTAATTAACTTGCGTCACTCTTAAAGCTGCAGTGCTCTATTACTCAATTGTTCTATAAATTCTTCTCTAAAAGACATTTACCTGCAAAAATACGAATGTTTCAAAACTAAATTCTGATTCACAAACCAGATGAGAAAAGCACAATTGCATTAAGTGCCGATTACATTGAGCTGGAACTAATGGGAATGTTAGCATAAAGATATCAGCCAGGTTCAGAGATGAAAGTCACAAGCACACAAACTGCAGTTCCACTTCTGAGATATAAACATTTAATACTGCAATTTTAGGCAACATGATCTTTTTCATCTTTATTTAGAATACATTAAATTTTGAAACAATTTAAAAATAATTTGCACATATTCTATACCAATTTTAATGGTTTCAAAGTTACATCCCCACAATGTTTTTCTATATAAAAAGAACAAAGCTGAGGTGTTAGAATCACAGGCAGCTTCCTTGAGGTCTGGACCTGG